CTCTCTCTCTCTCTCTCTCTCTCTCTTTCTCTCTCTCTCTCTCCCTCCCTCCCTCCCTCTTTCTTTGTCTCTCTGTCTCTCTCCCTCTCTCTCTCTGTCCCTGTCTCTGATATGAGAGCACAGTGAGAAGGCAGCCAACAGCAAGCCAAGAAGAGATCCTTCACCAGAAACCAAATTGGCTGGCCACCCTGAGCTTGGACTTTCCAGCCTCCGGAACCGTGAGAAAATAAAATTCTGTTGTTTAAGCCACCCAGCCTATGACCTTTTGTTATGAAAACCCGAGCTAACACACCTCCCTCTGCCTGACCACCACTCCAAGTTGTCCAGTTGTCCTAGAGTGTTAAATGGGAGGTCGAATTGGTGATTCCCTCCTGGCCTCAGTGTTTCCCCAAATCCACGTTCTCCTTTTCCTCTAAAAGCCAGTTCCCAGGAGGAAATTGAAAATAAGAAAGTCCACAGAAGGAAAATAATATACCCATCCGAGCCTTTTTCACCGGCTTTCTATTCTCCTTCTCCTTCCTCAGTCCCCCAAGGTCAAATGCAGCAGGCTTTTCTTGTGTGACTCTGATATCTTTATCCTTCCTGACTCCAGCTAAGCCTTAAGGGTGGACAGAAGTATCGAGTCCACCCGAGTGAAAAATTCAATGGGAATGGGTCTCCAAGTTTGTTGGTATAAAGGAGAGATTAAAAAATTGGGAGAGTCCTGGCTGATTTGGCTCAGCGGTTAGAGCATCAGCCCACGGACCAATGAGTCGCAGGTTTGATTCTGGTCAAGGGCACGTACCTTGGTTACAATTTTTCCCCGGCCCTGGTTGGGGTCATGTGGGAGGCAACCCGTCGATGTGTCTCTCTCACGTCGATGTTTCTCTCTCTCCCTCTCTCTCTCTTTCTCCTTCCCTCCCACCTATCTGATGATAAATAGAAAAATATCCTCGAGTGAGGATTTAAAAAGAAGAATAAGGAGAGCCCTGGCTGGTTTGGCTCAGTGCTTAGAGCGTTGCCCTCCAGGACCGGAGGGTCTCAGGTTCAGTTCCTGGTGAAGGGCACGTACCTGGTTTGCAGGTTTGATACCTGGCCCTGGCCAGGGTCATGCAGGAGACATCTGATCAATGTGTCTCTCTCACATCGATGTTTCTCTCTCACATTGATGTTTCTCTGTCTCTCCCTCCCTCCCTTCTTTCCACTCTATCTAAAAAAATCAATGGAAAAATATCCTCGTGTGAGGATTAACAAAAAGAAAAAAATAATACTAATAATTGGGAGAATTTTTCCTTGCAAGGCTTTTGTCCTGTTGCATAATCTTGAGTTCTGAAACATGAGCCTTCTTTTTGAAAATGTGTTTTTATTAATTTTTTTAAGAGAGAGAGAGGAAGGGAGAGATAGAAACATCAGTGTGAGAGAGATACAGCGATCGGCTGCCTCCTGCACGCCCCTTGCTGGGGATCGAGCCTGCAACCCAGGCCCATACCCTGATCAGGAATCGAACCAGGACCTCTAAGCCCATGGGAGGACGCTCAATCCACTGAGCCACACCAGCTGGGCTGGTGGGTTGAGTTTCGATTCCCTGTCCCTGACCTCAACTTTCGGCCAAAGAAGAAATGAAAGCTGCAACTAGGAGTTTTCCTCTACTGCTGGTTTCACATGAGATCTGATATTGTAGAAAGCCAGCTCAGGGGACAGCCCTGGCGTGAACAACCTCACCGCACAGGCAGCGCTCGTTGGACTTCCAAATGTTGCCCTATTCCATCCTCATGAGAACCCTACAACGTATGCCCATTTCGGGGATCAGGTACAGGCTGATGAAGAAACAGTCACACAGGACTTTGACTCCGATTTCAGCATCTCCATGACTCTAACTGCCATCCTCGATCCTAATAGAATGTGACCTTATTTGGAAATAGGGACATTGTAGGTATAAGTAAAGATGGGTGATTAGGGTGGGCCTCTAATCCAATATAACCTGTGTCCTTATAAAAAGGAGACAGACACACACACATGTGGAGGGGAAGGCAGAATTCGGGACATGCATTCACAAGCCAAAGAATAGCAAAGATAACCCGCAAACATCGGCAGTCCAGCAGAGGACCGTAACACATTCTCCCTCACAGCCCTGAGAAGGGGCAATGGCTCCCATACCTCAGCCTCAGACGCCCAACCTCCAGAAGTGTGAGAAAATACATTTCTCTGGTTGAAGCCTCCCAGCTTGTGGTTCCCTGTTATGGCAGCCCCAGCACATGGATCCAGACAGTATGTTCTCTCCCCTCAATCATTCTGGGGTCCAACCCTGTGGGCTCCCTCCTCCAATGGCCACTGGCCTCCTGACCACTCTCCTGATTAAATTATTTCCTGGAGGTTGTAAAGAAAGACCCTCCACTATCCTTCCCCGCACCATTCTATGGGAGAGGAGGAAGCTTTCTCTACTGCTTGGCTTCCCTACATAAAACCAAGGCAGAAGGGCCTCCAAGAGAACCGCTCCAAAACATGTAGGGGCTCTGCACCAAGCAGACTGACACCTCATTCCCTAATTGGCCATCAGCTGAGTCCAGGCTTGCTGCACGGCCCTGGTGACCCCAAGCAGGGGGAAGTGCACTGGTGAGAAATGCCACGATGCTCTGGACAGACGAACGAGCGGCAAAGACCACCTCCCTAGGTGCCATGTCCCAAAGGGATGGAAAACTACTAAATTCTGGCCACAGGCGTAGGGCTGAGGATATAAGATTGGGGGTTTGGGGTAGAGGATGATTCTCCCAAGGACTGATCTTTGTCTAGAGCTGCTTGAAACTGAAGGGAGCTCCATTTACCCACCCTGAGCTGGCAGCCATCAGGCTTGGTGAGTGGAATGACCCTTAGTAAGGTCACCTCACCAACACTAAGATAAACCGAAAGGATACCAAACTCCCCCAGGCAGCACAGGGACAGAGCAGGGAAGAGGGGGAGGTACGTGAAAGAGAAGACCACCCCTATGTGCACATTCACACATATACGTGCATGAACACACCTGTTTGCTCACTCCAAACCATGAGAACAATGGAAGTCTGCAAAGGGGTAGATGGAAACCATTAAGAATATGAGACTGAGCCCGGCCGCTGTGGTTCAGTGGTTGAACGTTGACCCATGCACCAAGAGTTCCCGGTTCGATTCCCAGTAAGGGCACATGTCCAGATTGTGGGCCCAATACTCAGTGGGGGGCATGCAAGAGGCAGCCAATCAGTGTTCTCTCTTGTTGATGTTTCTGTCTCTCTCTCCCTCTCCCTTCCTCTCTCTTTAAAATCAATAAAGGAAAAAGTTAAAAAACAAACAACAACAACAACAAAAATTAGGAAGAACTGCTAAACTTAAAAAAAAAAAAAATTGAGACTGAGATTTTACATGGATAGGACCAAATCTTAAATGGAACCAAACATGGCCGAAAAGTGATGGAATCAGGACTGAGAGGTCAGGAAGGGAGCCCCCTGTTCAGGAAAAAGGAGAATTTAAGACAGCAGAGGGAGTATCAATTACTGGAAAGTGGAAACTACTCTATGTTTATACCTCAAGGACGAAATAACAAGGCCTTCCAAGAGGAGACCTTTGCCCAAGGTTGTGCGTCTTCTTCTTCTACCCCTTCTCCTCCATCCGCATCCCTCAGCCTTGAGTCTCCCACAGTCCTTGGTGCCTTCTGGAGCGTGCGGCATCCCTCAGGCTCCCATGACTTGACTCGTGCTACTCTCTCTGCCTAGGATAACTTCCCTCTCTCAGTTGCCAAACTCCCATACATACTTCAAAACCAAGCTCAAGCACATGTACTGTCTTAATGGCTCTCACCCTATGTTCCCATCAGCCCTAGAATATAAATTCTCCAAGCACCTCCTGTGCTTCCAGCACTTATCACGGCGGAATTTTATGTTGATTCAATGCAGAGGAGATAGGAACTGGGAAGATGCAAAAGAGGGATGAGCATGAGATTTTTCACATATTATTATGACTGATTTTTGAACCATGAATGTATTTCCTGCTTGAAGAAAATTAAAAATACAGTGCAATAAAAGAATTGTCACTACTGTGCAGAGTACTACTCCACAATAAAAAAAAAGGATGAATTATTGTTATACAAAACAAGTGGATTAGTCTCAAAACATAAGGCTGTGTAAAAGAAGCCAGTCGGAAGAGCATCCATACCGGATGATTCCATTTATATGAAGTTCTAGAATGGGCAAAATGAATCGATGGTAACAGAGAGCGATCAGAGGTTTTCTGGGATAGGAGGTGGGGAAGGAGATTGGGAAGAAGCATGAGAAAACTTCTTGGGATGCTAGAAACTTTTTGTATCTTGATTATAATGTGGGTACACGGATGGAGAAGTGTCCACACTCATTGAACTGTTCGCTTAAAAGGTGTGCATTTTAGTGAACACTGCTTCTACCTCAATAAAGTTGATAGAAAACAACGTAGGCAAGAGAAAACCCAAGTTTCTGGAGCCTAGAAATGCAGAATCCACTTGTGTGTTTGCGGACCGAATTGAGGTGGCCTTACCTGAGGTAAGTGGAGAACAGCAGGTCCCAGCAGAGCCAGGGCGAAGACTCGGCAGGCTGCAGCCGTGGAGGGTCCGGTGCGTCGCAGCCAAGTTGTGGTGGCCTTCACTTCTAGGCTGGGTGTTCGGTTTCAGTCTCTAGATAATGGGGAATGAATGGAGGGTGTTCAGCTAGAGAGAGGTGTGGGGGGGAGGCTGCTTTGGCTCTAAGCTGTGCTTGGAAGAGGAAGGGGCTGGAAATTATAGCACCCTTTCTGTTACTCTCAGGCCAAAAATAAACCACAAATGGTTTCGTAAGCAATCTCTCCCTATCTCAAGTTGCTGAAACTTGGGCTGCCTCAATGCCCTGACCCTTCCTGCCCTTACTTCCAGCTGGCTCAGTTCCCCATCTGGCCCCTGGCTTTATAAGCTCCTCAGCCCCTGCTGTCACCTTCAGTTAGGGAGGCTCCTGCACAGAGACTCTGACCAACCTCTGCCCAGGAAGGACAAGATGATGGCCAGACCATACTGTCTGGTAGTGGCCCTACTGCTGCTGGCAGAGGCCTCCAGCCATGGAGAAGGGGTCTCGAATCCTGGGTTTGTGGTCAGGGTCACCAGAAAAGGCCTGGACTATGGTAAGTGGGTTTGGTCATTCCTCTGGTGCCCATTGTTGCCCACCAGAGTGGTGTAACCTGGATAAAAAAAAAAATCTCAGGCTTAGGTTGTGCTCCTGCCTGGCTTAGAAACCTTGGGTATGTGATCCTCTGGACTTCAGTTTCCTCATCTTGAATTATCAGAGGTTAAGGTAGGACTAGATGAGCATTTTTCCCAGGGTGGTCTATAACCCCCCCACATTAGACTTGCTGAGACACAATTCTGGAGATCGACTTAAGATCGACTGGAGCTGGGCCTGGGTATCTATATTGTTGAAATATGGCCCAAGCAATCATGAAAAACCCTAAGGTTTGACGACAGTGTAGGAAATGATTCCTTAAAAGTTCCATTGTATTCCATCATTGCTTTCACAATCTGGTTGCATGAAAAATAACAATGATTGCCATTTGCCTGGCACTTTGAGTTCATGATCTAATTTAATTGTCGGGCTCAGGTTGGTATTACTATTATTACCATTGGCATGGGGGAAACTGAGGCTCAGGGAATTCAAGGGACTTTCTTGGGATTACACCAACAGTAGGTGGCGAATCTTGCATTCAGTCCCAGTCCTTGTGATTCCAAAGCCTGGCATCCAACGGTATGCTTAGCTACCTCCCACCAAATGAGCTAACTCTCTCTACTTGCCCTTAGCCCGCCAATATGGAATGGCCACCCTGAAGAAGGAGATGGCCACCATCAACTTGCCTGATTTATCTGGAAGCTTCAAAGTCGGTTGGATGGGAAGCATGAGCTATGAGTTTAAGAGGTGAGGTCTCCATTCTTCACCACAGGGGCAGTGGGGGAGGAAAAAGGGGGCATAAAGTCATGGGGAAGGGCGATTAACATGGGATCATCACTTGGAATAAAGGCAAAGAGATCATAGCCGGCCCTTGTGGGGCTCTGGAAAGTGCTATGTGTTTCCTGATTATCAGGATGGGAGGGAAACTCTTAGAAACCATTCTCCAGTCCTGCAGAGACTGGTCGTGGATTTCTGCTGTACCGGAATCCATGGCCCTCTCCTGATGGCCCGGATTAGAGACCTGCTTGAGTACTATCCATCCCTTCAGAGCCTGTTAGGGGTCTGTAATCAAGGACTTAGAGTCTTTCTGGAACCTATTCACATTTTATTTGCATGTTATCTCTTGAGGATAGCATCCACACATATTCCCGGTGAGCAACAAAGCAGGGGCCTTCTGGTCCCTGGTGAACAAGTCCTGGTTCCTCATCTCCCTCCCTCAGAGATTTAACTGACATTAATCTCTCTCCAGCTTTCTCATATTCAGTCTTTGAGTCCTCCTCACTCCTTACTATTTTTTCATCTATTCCTTGCTTGCATGGCTTTTTCTTCCCCGGTCTGCTCAGTGTCCAGAATCAGTCCTTGAGGATCACTGATGGAAAAGGCTCCTCCTCTTGGAATCTTCCCCAAGTCTCTGGAGACAATTTCCTGAATACAGTGGGCAAAGAGGAGCTATTTTAAATTCGCACGCACACACACACACACACACACACACACACACACACCATCCAGGTCATGCCCACCCCTTACATCTGGTTTCCACAGTAGATTACTAGGGTCTGTTAATACATCCAGATCTGCCACCAACTGTGAGCTTTTCAAGGGCAGGGACTGAGTTTTGGATCTCTGTGGCCTGCGTGCCTGCAGCCAGGTCAGACAGAGCAGGATCTCAATGAATGTTCGATGAGGGAACTCCTAATTGTTGAGTTGTCAAGAGTCCACTGGCCACAGAGGAGTGAGTAACACAGATGAGTGTACTGAGCAGAGTGACCATCAGTCAGGGACCAGCAGGAAAGCAGACCCCACACCAGGAACTTCAATGGAGGGAGTTTAATATAAGGACTTTTATTCAAAGTTGTTGAAGAGCTGAAAAGCCAAATAGAGAATGGTGAAGCAATCCAGAAATTAGCAACAACAAAAAGTCATTGACATTCCTAGAGCTGGAGAGACAAAAAGAGGGAAGGTGTCCACAGGGGACAAGAGCCAGGGCTCAAAGTAGGAGTTAAGATCATGTCTGGCAGGAACTGGCCCCAGTGTGGAAAGGTAACTGTTGCCAAAGATAAATTCTAGGCAGAGAGAGAAAGAGAAGAAATACCTTGGCTTCTCCCCTTTCCATACCCACTTACTTCCCCAGAGTGCTTCCCATTGGCCAATCCTATTTAGAAGTCAGCTGCAAAGGATCCTGGGAAATGTAGTTTTGGAATGTCAGTCCCATCCATTATAGGTGGAGCAAGAGAAGGAAAGGGAACAAACCTGAGAGCAAATAAGCAAATGATCAATGCAGTGTTTATCTGAAGGGCATTTGCCCCATTTAAAGGGGACAGTTGCTACTCACTGTAGTTGATTGATGCTGTAAGGAAATAAGAACCATATATATATATGTGTATACACAAATACACACACACACACACACACACATATATATATATATATATATATATATTTGGTAAGTTCTTCTAATTTTTTTAAATTACAGAGGTCCCTCCTTTTTCCCCCTTTGACACCCTCCTCCCCACTCGCCACCCCCCTTCACTGGACTGTTGTCTGTGTCCATTGGTTATGCACATATGCACATAAGTAAGTTCTTCAGTTTATCTCTTCCTGACCCCACCCCCACCCCCCTTCCCTCTGAGGTTTGTCAGTTTTTTCCCTACTTCCTTGTCTCTGGATCTATTTTGTTCATCAGCTTATTTTGTTTATTATATTCCACAAATAAGTGAGATCATGTGATATTTGTCTTTCTCTGATTGGCTTATTTTGCTTAGCATAACACTCTCCAGGTCCCTCCACGAGGTCTCAAAGGGTGAGAGATCTTTCTTTCTTTCTTTCTTTTTTTTTTTTCCTCACCCGAGGACATTTTCCCATTTTTTGTTCAGGTAGAGTGGGAGGGAGAGAGAGGAATGAGAGAGAGAAACATTGATGTGAAAGGAACACATCGAGTGGCTGCCACCCACACAACCGACCAGGGCCAGGGACAAACTGCAACCAAGGTACGCGCCCTTAGCGGGAACCGAACCCGGGTCTCTCAGGACCGCAGGCCGACGCTCTAACCACTGAACCAAACCGGCCAGGGCGAGAGAGATCTTTCTTTCTCACAGCTGCATAGTGTTCCATTGTGTAAATGTACCATAGCATTTTTATCCACTCATCAACTGATGGGCACTTGGGCTATTCCCAGATCTTTGCTATTGTAAATAGCACTGCTATGTGAGCATTGGGGTGCATATATTCTTTCTGACTGGTGTTTCACGCTTTTTAGGATATATTCCTAGAAGTGGAATCACTGGGTCAAATGGCAGTTGAATTTTAATTTTTTGAGGAGACACCATATTGTAAGAACATTGTCTTTTGACTTTTTTGTGATTTTATATATAGAGAGAGAGATTTGAGAGAGAGAGGGGAAGAGAGAGGGTGAGAGAGAGAAACATCAATGTGAGAGAGAAGCATTGATCTGTTGCCTCCCGCATGCACCCCAACCTGGGATTGAATCTGCAACCAGGGTGTGTACCCTGATGTGGAACTGAACCCGAAACCCCTTGCCGCACTCCAACCAATTGAGCCACACGGGCCAGGGCTTTTGACTTTTCAAGAGCATCCAGAATTCTAGGTGTTTTCCCCTTCACATTTTTACAGTGAAACGTCCTTATTTTAAAGTGTTGGCAACTGATTCAAACTGCCGAGAACACTGTAGGAAACACTTACCTGCAGCATATGGATCATATGTACGACCTGCAGATCACCAGTGGAAGAGCTCAGATGTAAAATGTGAGCCCATATTTGTATTTGAAGTGTGGGAAGTGGTAGGTGTCATAGATGAGAGGAAGGTCTTTGGTGTTGAAGGCTGGCGAAGTCTTCCTGGAGGAGAGAAAGCCGGTCTAGACCTTGAAGAATATGAATGCAAAGCTTTGGTTATTTTTTGTGGTTTAAGTCAATAAATCTGCAAGAGAGTTTGAGAGGCTGGTGGGGACTCTGGGGACTCTGGGGACTCATTCAGAGGACTGATGTGCCCCTGGTTTTTCTGAATTTAATAGTCTGCCTTCCTTCCCTAGCCTGAGAATCCTTAACTTCCTACTCCGAAACTCCGATCTGAGTCTACGCCCAGGGAAGGGTGTCACAGCCTCCCTGTCCAATAACTACGTGTCTATCGCGGGGAACTGGAAAGTGAAAAAGGGGTTCATGTAAGTAGTACTTGGGTTAGAATCTCTCAGCTCTGGCATGTCCTCCCACCCTGGACTTCCATTTCTGGATACTTAAACATCCAGTCAATAAAGGACCCAGCTCTGACTATCTCTAAGCCTCAGTTTCATTATCTGTAAAATGGAGTTAATAATAACCCAACCCAGATGCATTTGTGGATTAAATAAAATAACAGACATAAGGTATTTGCAGTGTGCCTGGCACGTAGCAAATACTCAGTGAGACACTGGTATCTTCGTTAATGTTAAGTTGATGTTGTCAAAATAATATAAATGGAGCCACTTGAAAATAGAGCCAGAGCTGCCTGCCGGAGGAACTGTCTGGTTCGTCTTACATCTCAAACCTTTGGGATGTTCAAACAGAGCAAAATAACGTTTACATGGGGCCTAAAGCAACCTTGTGCCCCAAAGAACTGTTTGCAAAGATAACAAGAAAGCAGATATTACAACTCCTAGACTGAAAATTTAAAACATCATTTGGAATTTACGTCACTATGTTATATCTTCACTAATAGAAATGCCTTTCTTCTATTGTTGTAATTGTTCTCCTTCCCTTTCTCATAAACACCCGTTGCTTTTGTCTTCTAATTAAAACAATATTCGGGCTCTGCCTTATCAATGCTTCCTGAATAGCTTTTGTTATTGATCTCAAATAAATGCTTGATGCCCCTCACCTTGAAAGGCTCAGACAGAACACACAGCTCGTTAATGGGGATCTGGGGGATAAACCTGGGTCTGCGTTCTTCCAGCTCCTCTTTCTGGAGGTGACTGATCATTCACCATTTGGTTCTCATTTCTCCCAACCAGCACCCTACAGGGTACTTTTGATCTGAGTGTGGATGACGTTTCCATCTCGATTTCTCTGAACGTGGGCAAGGACCCGTCAGGACGACCCACTGCCTCTGTGGACGACTGCAGCAATTCTGTGGGCCAGGTCAGCATCCACACTTCTGGAAACCTAAGGTATGTCACCCCCTACACTTGCTGGAAGCTGTCAGAATTGCTTCCGCATCTAGCCTACCCAGGGGATGTCCCTGATGGGCCAGAAGAGCAAGATGTAAGATTCCTCAAGGTCAGAGGTCGGTGAACTAAAGCCTGTGGGCCCAGGCCACCTGTCTTTGTCAATGAAGTTCCGTGGGAACACAGCTCTACATCAGCAGAGCTGAGAAGTTGCAACAGAGACCATATAGTATGCAATGCCAAAAATATTTCCTGTCTGGCCCTTTAAGAAGAAGTTTGCTCACCCCTCAGCAAGACTGCCTCCAATGGCAATCCGGCATCCCAAAGCAACTTGCCTGGAGCAGATGCTCAGTGAAGTTGAATGAATGGTGGCAGCCTCCAGGGCCACTGCCTTCCCACTCTGTTTTGGTTGGCATTATATCACTCAGATCGTGGCAGGAAACAGAAGGCAGCTCATACGGCTTAAGCAACAAGAATCTAACAAAGAGAATATTCACTGGAGCCTAGCAACAGCAGGAAGCTATTGCCACATCTAAGGTTGAAGGTGAGAGGAAGGGAAGGGTGTTTCCAGAGCCTAGGAAAGCCGAAACCTTGGAGAAGGGCCCCAGGACAGGAGCAAAGTGGAACAGCAGGCAGGGAGGGACCTGGGAGTGCATACCCTGACTCCTCTCTGCTTCCAACCTGTGCCTCCCGTTGGCCAAAACAACTAGAAGCCCGATGACAAGAGAGCTTGAGAGATGAACGTATAGCTGGCAGCCCCCAGGATGCTTTCTGCAGAACCCCGGGGAGCACTTGTGTCTTATGTTACCACATCTATTTATAATACACATACACTTCTAAAACATACCACTAATCATCCAATCAGCAAGCATCGAATGGTAAAGAAAACTTTAGGGGAGAAACATTTCACCGGAAGTAATTCCTCTAATGTGGTTCACTTAGTTCACACCGCCTCTCACCCTCACCCCTAGGTGAGAACGTAGTGTGAGAAGCTCTGTTCTGGGCCACGATTCTCAGAGTGGTGTCTGTGGTTGGGAGGGGTTCTCAGTAAACAGCTTTACCTGAAGTGGGTTAGACTCACAGCATGAGCTCTGTGAGGTCCCTCAGCAATGTCCCTCAACACCTTTCTTGTGCTTAGCAGGGAGGAGGGACTCAGTACAGGTTTGTTGAATGAAGGAATGCGTGAATGACTAATTGCTAAGTGGTCAGGTAAATTGTTTATGGGCTTTTGCAGGGTATAAAGAATAGGTCTTACTCTCCTTATCATACCTTTAAAAATGTAAATGCTTCTGAGTAGGTAGTACATTTGCACAGTTCAAAATTCAAAAAGTGCAAAGGGTACAGAATGAAAAACATATTTCTCCATTCTGGTTCCCCCACCGATCAGCTCTCTTTGCCAGAACAACCAATACTAACAGCGTCTGAGGTCTCATTCCTGACAGTCTGTGCCTGAACAGTTAGATATTTTACTCTTTTATTTTAACACAAATGCAGCATGCTATAGAAAGCATTATGTCCCTACCCTGTCCGTCTAAGCCCATCCACACCTGAACACAAGAGCTTCCTTTTCAAAATACTTCATTATATGAAGACACTAAAATGTAATGATTTGTCCTCTATTGATAGACTTTTCTTTTTAGTTTGAGGGGTTTTCTTTCAGTCTTTTGCTACTACAAACAATGCTACCAAAGATAACCTTATGCTTAATATCATGTTGCACCTGGGCAAATAAATTATAGGATACATTTTTAAATGGTATGTGCGTTTTGTCATTTTAATAAAAACTAGCAAATTGCCCTCACAGGGGTTTGCTAGTTAATGTGTTTCCTCCCACTATCATCAACACAGTATTTCATCAAAGATTTAGGTTTTTGCTGAACTGAAAGGTGAGGGTATGTTAGTATCCAAGAATCACCCATCCTTGGATTAAATTCACCTGGCTGTGTCCCTTCTTGGGACGACACGGGAAAGGTCAAATCCATGGGATTCTCAGTCCATCATAAAGTGGATCCTGACCCTCTTTCCTCTTTTCTTCAGCTGGCTCCTGAACGTATTCCATGAAAGAATTGAAAACAAGTTAAAGAATATCCTGAAACAAGAGGTAAACTAAGGACAAGCAGATCTGTGGTTAAAAATCATTGGCAGGTGCCTATTTGATATTTGGAAACAGTCCTGTCTTTTAAGTAGGTTTCCATTTGACTTTGCTTAGCAAAACCCTCCTCACTTGTGGTACAAAGGCAAACCTCAAGGCTTTCCCCAGTTTGTATGATCATATGGGCTAAATTGGCATTAGAAACTGACGGTGTTTGATATCTAGTTGTAGATAATATGAGAGAGATAGGGAGAAGTGACTTTGGATCCCTCCTTCACACTATACGCAAAAATCAATTCCTGGTCATCTAAGGACTTAAATACCAGAACAATTCAAAAACTTTTTAGTAGAGAACCTAAGATATCTTTCTCACCTTCAGGGTAGGAAAATGTTTCTTAAATAAGACTGTCCTGTTAAAAAGAAAATGCATCATATTGAGAACAGCATTGGAGATGGCCCCTCAGTATCTCTCATCTCTGGGATAGGGGTTGGTCTTGGAGGCAAAGAGGTACCTCTCGAATTTACCCTTTGTGTTTCTTTGGACAAATTGACACACCCCTGGAGCATCAGAGATGGTATAGGTATAGTTGAAATTAGGAAATCGCAAGACTGAGGGCTTCTGGGATCTCCCAAGCTGTGATTCTTGGCTTACAGAGGAGTAAATTGGTGGCCTACTGAGCAATGCAATTCTGGGGTGGACCCTCCATCTGGCTTGACTTTAGAGCCCTCTGGTGGCCACAATTAGTACTCCCTACAGACTAGGCACCAAGCTCCTTGACAGATTCACTGATGGCCAGAAACCCCAGTAGAAATAGGAGGCAACAGAGCTTTGGAATGGGTGGTGGAGCCTCTAATTCAAGAGCTTCCCTTTGCCCCTAGAAGCTCTTCTGCTTTGTCCTCTGCTCTCTAATATAAGCATCTATATACTGCACTTCTTGCCCCTTAGCTGCCAGAGGACCATGACAGTAGCAGGCCCTAGGGCAGTGCTGACTTGACCACCGTCCACTTTTAATGTCAGTTCCAGAAAAGTCTAGTAACTTCAATTGAGCCTTCATGTATGAGAGTGACCAAGTGTTGATGGGGGGGGTAGTGGTCTCTTGTCCCTTTCACCATACTCTCCCTCCCCTCACACACCTACGTACAAGTGGGGATGTAACCCAAGGTTCCTAGAGGGGTGGGGAGGAAGGACTCACCTGGCTTTCTCACCACTTTGGCAGATCTGCGGAATCATCAGGCAGTCAACAACCACACACCTGGAGCCCTATCTCCAAACGCTGCCAGGTTAGGAGACCCCCCTCACTTGTCTGGGTGCCATTGGATGCCATGGTACCCAGTACTCCTGAAACCACCCCCCCTCAAGAGCCTTGGGAGAATTTTCCCCATTGAGTAGCTTTCCATTCTACAGAGTTACGTATGGGGCGACCACCTCTTTTGGGGATCTGTTCTCTAGAGGTGAGGGAATGAGGTGATTGAGGGTGGTGACTCAGAAACCTGCTGGGAGCACAGGGTGGGCAGAAAAGTAGGAATATGTGGGAGAGTCACATGTTGGCTGCTTTAACAAAACAGGGGTGCTCTGACCTCCCTGGGGACCCTCCTAGCTCTAACCCCCTGGCTGCCACAGGGACCTTTTACAATCATACATAAGGTCAGGTCTCCCCCTCTTGAAACCCATCAAAGTCCCCTCTGACTCTCAGAATAATGAGCCCAGCTGTGGGAGACGAAGCCTTGCATGGTCTGGCTCAGACCACCACGCTGCTGTCTCCCGCTTTATCGTGCTCCCCTCCCCAACTCAGCTGGCCACTCTGGCCCCTATTAGTCTCTCTAATACACCGTGCTCCATAACATTTGCACATGTCATTCCGTTTGCCAGTGCCTCTCCCCCACATTTACCCCCCTTCACCCAGTCAACACCTGCTCTTCCTTCAGATCTCAGCCAAAGCAACACCTCCTCGGAAAGTTCCCTGACTCCCTCTCCAAATCAGGTTGCCTCCCCCCACGTCACCCCCTGTCATATGGCTGGCATCATCCTATGGATTTCTACTTAACATCTAACATACTTGCAATTGTACATCTATTTTCTTGGGTATTTGATTATTTCTCTTCTCTGGATTTATGAGTTCCTTGAGGACAGAAACTTAGACTATCTCACTCAGCTGTTTCATCAGCCTCTTGCATTGCTCCTGGCATACAGCAGGTGCTAAATAAATACTGAATGAATAAGCAAATAAATGAATGAATGAAGTACTCTCTCTATGACGGAAGGTAGCATGGATATGCCCCAGCCCATCTCCATTCTCCAAAGGCTACAGTCCCTGTGAAAGGAGCTCCCAGGAGCTGTGTGGTGTAGAACTTCAATTACTGTCCAGCCACCCTGTTCACAGTGCTGCCTCTTTCCCGTTCCACAGTCACCTTGATGATTGACAAGGTTGCTGGCATTGACTACAGTTTAGTAGGAGCTCCCTGGGTGACCTCCGAAGGCCTGGACACGCCCTTCAAGGTAAGGGGCTGTGGGAAAAGGGCTTTGGAGCTGAGCACTGGCAGGGAATCAGACCCACCTCTCAGAATCAGCTCCTACCCTCCCTCTCCAGTCCTTCTGCTTGTCAGTCCACATCCTTGACCAGGGCCCACCGTGGGCAGATGTGGTGCTCAGCACTGCAGAGCAAACCCTAAAACAAGGTCTCTGAACTAACATGATAAATCTGTCTGGAGTCCGGATAGACCTGAGCTTGAATCCTGGTTCTATCACTTCTGTGGTGGGGACCCTTGCAAGAATTAACCTCTATGAAGCTCTATTAAATTGGAATAATAACAGCCTCACCCCATAAAGCGGCTATAGGAATTAAGTGAGGTGTGGATGACTTGCTCAGCAAGTGCCTGGCACATAGCGCATGTACAGGGGAACACTGTTGTCAACTATCTGCCCCCCTACAGTAGACTGAAGGATGTCTCTCCAAAACGTCCACGTTCTAGTCCTCGAAATCTGTGAATGTCACCTTACGTGTCCAAAGGGGTGTTGTAGGTGTAACTAAATTAAGCATATCGATGACAAGATTATCCTGGCCAGTTGTAATCATGGGCATCCTTATAAAGGAGATAAGGGACAGAAGGCAATGTGACAACGGAAACAAGAAGTAGGAGTGAAGCAAGAGGTGATGTCAGGGAGGGACCACCGGTCAAAGAATGCAGGTGGGCCCTGGCCGGTTTGGCTCAGCGGTTGGAGCGTCGGCCTGCGGTACAGAGAGACCCGGGTTCGGTTCCCGCTAAGGGCACGTACCTCGGTTGCAGTTTGTCCCCGGCCCTGGTTGGTCGTGTGGGTGGCAGGCAGCCACTCGATGTGTCCCTTCGCATCGATGTTTCTCTCTCTCTCTCTCTTCCTCTCTCTCCCTCCCGCTCTATCTGAACAAAAAATGGTAAAATGTCCTCGGGTGAGGATAAAAAAAAAAAAAAAAAAGAATGCAGGTGGCCTCTGGAAGGTAGGAAAGACAAGGAAACAGGCCCTAGTTGGTGTGGCTCAATGGAGAGAGCATCAGCCCACACACCAAAGGGTTGTGGGTTTGATTCCCGGTCAAGGGTATATAGCTGGGTTGCAGGTTCGATCCCCAGCCTGGGTTGGAAAGCGTGCGAGAAGCAACCAATCGATGTGTTTCTCTCACATCATGTTTCTCTCTCTCTCTTCCTCCCTCCCTCCCTCCGTTTCTTCCACCCTCTCTGAAAAATCAATAGAAAAATATATCCTCAGGTAAGGATTAATAACAAATTTTTTAAAGACAAGGAACAGATTCACCCTTGAAGCCTCCAGAGTCCAGAAGGAGACCAACCTTAACATCTTGTACTTAGGCTTCTGACCTCCAGAGTGTAAGGGAATAAATCTGTGCTGTTTTAACTGAGGTTAAGGTAATTTATTACAGCAGCCATGGAAACCAGGACACCCCTCTTCACACCTGTCTCTTTCACAGCTCCCTTGCGAATTGAGCCAAGGCCTGGAGTGCCACCCTCTCCAATTTTATTTACTTAACTAATACTTATACACTTCGTCCTATGTCCCAGATGCTGTTCAATGTTAACTTCTTTAAGTTTTATACTACCTCTAAGAAGTCAAAACTATTAGCGCCATCCCCATTTTACGGGTGAGGAAGTTGAGGTACAAGGCAGTTGGTGACGTGCCTGAGGTTGCAGAGCCAGTAGGTGGCAGACCGGGATTCAAACTCATACTGTTAAGCTCCTGAGTCCCTGCTTTTTCCCACCGGCTGTGCTTCCTGTTCTATGTCCTGAGCCTAGAAAAACACAGGACCTCCCCACCAAAGGAGGGATTTCAGGCAATTGTCGGAACCTAAATATTGTGGGACCAGAGGAATCGTTGAGGACCCCTGACCCCACATTCTGGAGAGGAATTGCCACCCTGGCCACCACCCAGGGCCCAAGAGTCCTCCCCCAGGCAGGCTTTGGATGCCCCTGCCTGACACCCTCTCTGGTAGGAACCTTGGGTGACTGATTTGTCCTTCTGTCTCCAGGGTGAATTCTTTTGCCAAAGCCAGTGCTCCCCAGTCCCCCTTGATGCTCCACCCATCGGGCTGTCCCAGGAGCATGACCGCATGACCTACTTTGCAGTCTCCCAATATGTCTTCAACACAGCCAGCCAGGTTTACTACCAGGCTGGGTACATGAACTTCACCATCCGAAATGAGCACGTGAGTAGGGGATGGAGGAGGCTGGGGGTCCCAGGAGAGAGCATCAGGTGGGACTGCAGACCCACTGTGGGTGCCCTAGGGAGCTAGCGGAAGAATGTGGAATCTGGAGCCTGCCCAACATGAATGCAAAGCCAGACTGTGCCTCAGTTTCCCCGTCTGTGCACACGGACCCCCAGGGGTTCGGTGAGAGAGTGTAAAGAGCTTGGTGTCTGTCACACAATACATATTAGCAATTATCCGCAGTATTTTAACAAATAAGACAGACTGGTGTGTCATAGCAGGTTTTGGAGGAGCAAATGCCAAGACAGCATTAGACTTAAGAGTTTTACTAGGGAAACGCCGCCTGAGAAGGCTAAAGGAGAGGAGGAGGAGGAGGTGAGAGAGCCTGCAGACCGACACCTGTGAAGGAAGAGGGAAGGCGGAAATGCTACCACGTGGCTCCGAGAAATCTCAGCAAGCTGATGGGGGGAGAGCAAAGCTTACTTTTTAGAGGAGGGCTGCACACCTCAGGCTGTGTGAGGAGTCGGCTCCAGGCCAAAATCCTATGCACGATCTTTCAGACCTGACTGTAGGCAATTACACAGGCTTTACCGGGCGCGTCTCACCGGACCACACCTGGAGCGCTTGTCAGCCTAGTCTAGAAGGAGCTGCAGCCAAAGACCTAACCCCGCCCCACCCCCACCCAGACTGACGGGTCAGCATTCCTAGTATAGACACCTCCTTTCAGAGGGTTCCTTATGGATGTAGGAGAAAGGGAACCTCAGCCATGACACTGTCTAAGTGCCTCTGCTAAGACCCCTAACTGGGATCTTGGAGACAGTTTTCTCCAGCCTCAGCACTCAGTACTTTTCTACCCCTGGCCCTTCCCCTTCTCCTCCACCTCTTCCCCCTGGGGCCATAAAATAGCAGGAGCCTTTTGTGCAGGTCTCCCTTGGCAGCAAGGCGATCCCCCTGCTCCATCTGCACGGGTCATCTGGCCTTGGAAGGTGCCATGCCACAGGGGAAAATGGAAGATGTGGGGGCGGGGAAGGAGCACCCTTGCCTGTTTAGTCTCTTAACACTACCACCTCGAATCCTGGCAGTGATCTGACAAAATTCTCCTGCTCTGCCACCCCAGCCATGCTCAGCAGGGGCTGGAGCTGTCTGGGGGAGCATGGCCTCGGTGAGAATGGTGTGGGACCTGGATGTGAGGCAGTGGCGGGGGAGGGGGGGCATTGGGGAAGTCTATTCGCCAGCTACCTCCCCTTCACTGATCCCCTTGAAGGGAGGTCTGAGCGGCACACCTCCAGAGCCAAAGCTATGATAAGTGCTAATGGAGCTGCCCAGGTAAAGAGCAAGAATCTCGAGGGAGGAGAGATCAAGGAAGGTGGGCTATGGACAGGTGTAGGCAGAGTTCCCCGAGCTGAAAGATCGGCAAGTCATGGTGTGGATAGAGAATGATACCACAAGAGATGGCGAGTAACAGATTTTGGGGGAAACTGTATGTGGAAGCACATTAAATCCGGATTGTGGTGGTGATCAGCTGGACTTTTGGGGAAGCATCCTGAGAACTAATGAATTACAATAGCAGACATTTACTTAGTATGTTCCAGGCAGTGCACTGGCGCTTTCTCCACATACGACCTCATGGAATCTGCACAGCCTGTACAGCAAGTGCTCTTACTATCATCCCCATTTTACAGATACAGAACCTAACAAAGTCTGTCGGCAATCACTCCGCTCAAGGATGGTGGGCGCCAACTTGTGTGCTCTCCGAGGCCACAACTTTCACCGCCATGATGTCCTGCTTCTCAAGTGGCTTCCTGCTTCATCTGCTGCAAATTCCCCTGGACTTCCCAATTCAGCTGCACACCAAGTCCCTAGGGGCCGTGATTCCTCAGGTGAGACCTCTGCCCACTCATCACAGAGGACAAGGCAAGCCCCTTGACCTAGGCCAAATGTGGAGATTGTATTTCAGCTATGCCTAGACTTTCTCCAGACAAACAGCTTACCTATTAGAACAGTGGGTAAAGATAAAAGTTGCTTGTTTGTTTGTTGTACAAAATTCCCATAATTTTTTGACCCCTTGTGGATTCAGATTGCCTGTTTGGATCCTGGGTCGGCTGTTTTCTATCTTTGGAACTCAATCTTGTTGGGCCTCAGTTTCCTCATCTGTCAAATGGGGATGGCAATAGTACCTGCCCCACTGTTGTATCAATGGGAGACAAGATCACTCAACCAGCACGAATATACAGAATCCTTCCAGGGCACAAATGAGGCATGTTGGCAGGCTAATAATTTGGGGCTAAGCTAATAATTGATATTGCATGATGTTTATGCAGCACATAGCTGAAGGAGGCAGGGACAGAGTGAAGAGGAGCACTCAGCCTTCCCCCTCTTGAACCAGGCAATTCAGCTCAGCCCCAAACTTGCACACTGGTTAACACAAGTTGGCCAGCATAGAAGGAAGTACAGTGACCATCCACTGTTACTGGAACATGCCCATGGGGTGTGTCACCCATCTCAGACACTTTATCAGAGTACCCCTTTCAGTCATAACAGCCATCTACTGGAAAGGGGTTGTGGAAAATAAAATTTCCTCTATCCTGTGATATTTCCACTGCTGGTTTCGGGCCCTTAGAGATTTGAACCTTGTAAGTCCACCCATCTAACCCTTCCCAATACAGCTCAGGGTCCCTCTGTTTGTCTCCTGCCCTCCCCTGAGTCTCTGCCCTCTTTCTCTAGCTGTCCAGGCTATACCCCAATACAGAGCTAGAGTTGGAAATGTCACCGGAAGCAGCTCCCTTCCTGAAGTTCAGTCCTGGAAATGTGACCCTCATACCAGTGATGAACATCCAGGCCTTTGCCCTCCTGCCCAACTCGTCTGACCGAAAGCCACTCTTCCATCTCAGGGCGGTAAGTCTGATTCCGGCTGGGGCAGCAGAGGGTGGTGCTTGGCATGGGTGTAAGCCCCTCCCACCAATGAAAGACCTGGAACATTCACATCTGATAGATGCTGGAGGCTATTTATTTCCCACTGTAGGCATAAGTGGGCCTTGCAATTCTGATCTGAACAGCCAGTCTTCTCCAGGGCATAGTTAATCAAATCAGAGTTACAAGAAACCGTAAAATTCATTCACTCAGTTGAGTTGAAAATATTAGCTTTCTCACTGCTATGTTGGTTATAAAAAATTGTTTAAAATTGTTATAAATAAAAGTTATATTCAAATTGTTATAAATAAAAGTCATCAAATTATTTGTTTGAGGAAGGTATAAAATTTAAAGAAATTAAATTTAAAATTTTTTAAATTTAAATTTAAAGAAGGTATAAAATTTAAAATAGCAGTGCTCTTCAAATTAATGTTCAGATTCAACATAATCCCTATCAAAATCCCAGCTGGCTTTTTGCCAGATAACAAGCTGATTCCAAAATTCATATGTAAAGTCAAGGGACCCAGAATAGCCAAAACAATCTTGAAAATAAAGTTGTATTAACTCATACTTAACTATTTCAAAATGTACTATATGGCTATAGTAGTCCAGATAGTATAGTACTGTACAAGGGAAGATATATAGATCACTGGGATAGAATTCAGAATTCAGAATTAATTCCCCATATTTATAGTCAATTGATTTGCAACAAGGGAACCAACACAACTAAATGTGGAAGAATAGACTCTCAGGAAATGGTACAGGGGCAACTGTATATCCACAAGAATAAAACTGGACCCCTATCTTACACTATACACAAAAATTAACTCCAAAAGGATCATAGACCTACATGTGAGAGCTAAAACTATAAAACTCTTAGAAAAAACATAGTAGTCAATTTTCATGACCTTGGGTTAGGCAGAGCCTTCTCAGATCAACTCAAAATCACAAGCAACAAAATAAAAAATAGGTAAACTGTAGTTTATCAGAATTAAAAACTTTTATACTTGAAAGGACAGCACTATTCTAGAAAGTGAAAAGACAGCCCACAGAACGGGAGAAAATATTTGCAAACCATATATCTGATCAGGGCTCAGAGGCTCTCTGAACTCCCCTTGGTAGTCTGCTCCAAAGCTCAGTCATACTTACAGGCAGACAGTCTCCCAATTTGAATACTCTGAGTGTTTAGTCTGGGCTTATTCCCCCTTCCTGATGCTTCCATTAAGATGGAGACCTTGGCACCCGGCCCGTGTGGCTGAGTCATTGAGCGTCAACCCATGCACCAAGAGGTCACTGGTTCAATTCCCAGTCAGGGCACATCGATGTTCTCTCTCGTCAATGTTTCTATTTCTCCCTCTTCTTTCCTCTCTCTCTAAAAATCAATAAAGAAAAAAATGTTTACAAAAAGATGGAGACCTTGGAAATCTCAGCTCACCTTTCTTGAAGTCAGCTGTGGAGCCAACATCCTGCATCCTCGGTCCATAACCCTTGAATAGTCAACTAAACACTCAGAGTATTTCCCTTATCTGGCTGTGGTTTCTATTTCGGGAGCTCTGTCTCCTGCCCTGGGAATCAACAGGATACCTACGTAGCCTGAGAATCGGGGTGATGTCCTTTTGCTTTTCTAGAGAACCAACATCTCCACCACCATCAGTGTGCGCTCCGGCAGGGTCCTTGGCTCATTGACCCCAGGAAGGTAAGAGGCCATGGGTGAGCAGAGGAGAGGGGGTGGGATGGGTGGTCAGAGCATCTAGTCTGCTTCACTGATAGGGCTGGAGCTGCCCCTTGGAAACAGGTCTCCACTGGGTTGTCTCCTTCTCGAATCCGATGCCCTTCTGGAAAGGCATACTGACAGTGCCTCAGGGGGAAAGCCAGAAGACAAGAAACGTAGTCAGGCCCTGGCCGGTTTGGCTCAGCGGTTAGAGCATCAGCCTGCGGTCTGGAGAGACCCGGGTTCGGTTCCTGCTAAGGGCAAGTACCTCGGTTGCAGTTTGTCCCCAGCCCTGGTAGGGTCATGTGGGTAGCGACCACTCGATGTGTCCCTTTCACATCGATGTTTCTCTCTGTCTCTCTCTCCCTCCCACTCTATCTGAACAAAATATCGAAGAATGTCCTCGGGTGAGGATAAAAAAAAAAAGAAAGAAACATAGTCAGGTAACCGAGGTTACCTTCAGGTTCCCCTCTCAGGCATCGGCAAAAGAGCCGAAACGTCTGCAAAGAGTGTACTTGGGAACCACAGTCCAGTTGGAGAGGGCGGGCTTGCAAGGACTTGACATATAAGATTGAGAAAAACTATCAACATCACACGTCAAAAAGGGGGGATTTAAAATGGGGGATGAAAGGTGCCCCTCGGCCACTGCGTACTGCTCCACTGCCCAGATACCCAATCAGTAGGCAAGTATTTATTTAGCCAGTGAGTCAGTAGAGTTCAGGCTTTGGACGGTAGGGGCTGTACGGCTCCCTGGGCTGGCCCTTGCCCTTGCAGTGCCCTCTGTCCAGAGCCCTCACCTGTGCCCCAAGTCTCACCTACTCCCTGCTGAAGTACAGGTGCAATAGGTTCATCAGAGAACGAATTTCTGGCCCCAGGCTTGGATGCCTGTGGCTGATAGAATGCCCTGACCCCCTCCAAATGAACATCTCCTTAAAAAGTGTTTTTAAAAAGAAGCTAATGGTGAGCCTTTGGGGATTTGGGAGGTCTCTGAATTTGAGTTTCTGCATAGACCTGGCTTGGGGGAGGGTCTCTGCAGTATCGGGTAGGACAGCCAAGCCCTTAGACTATGAGGAGACAGCAAAGTGAACAGAGGATCTCACCCAAGAATATACTATAAAATTATTAAAAGTACTGCCTCATGAGCAGAAAGTGGAGATCTGCTCAGGGTAATTAGAATTCCTGAACAAGGGAACCAGGTCAGCAGCCAAAGGAATCAACAGGGGACACTGGGGTTTGGCTTTTATAGTGATAGCAGTCCAGGTGCCAAGTCACTCCACCCTCCTTCACTCCAGCTGCCTGCCATTATTGTTTGCGGGCCTCTGTTTCCCTTTTTTTTTTTTTTTTGCATCTATCTTCAGATAGAACTGGCAGGAGAGAGGGAGGAAGAGAGAGAGAGAAGAGAGAGAAGCATCGATGTGAGAGAGACACATCGGGTGGCTGCCACCCACACAACCCCAACCAGGGCTGGGGACAAACTGCAACCAAGGTATGTGCCCCTAGCGGGAACTGAACCCAGGACTCTCTGGTCCACAGGCTGACACTCTAACCGCTGAGCCAAACTGGCCAGGGCTCTTTTCCATTTTTTAAAAAACGTTTTTAAAACAGATTTTTAGAAAGAGAGGAAGGGAGAGAGAAACATCTATGTGAGAGCAAAACATCGATCAGCTGCCTTCTGCGTGTCCCCTACCAAGAACGTACGAGCTTTCAGTGCATGGGACGATGCCCAACCAACTGAGCCACTCTGGCTAGGGCCTCTTTTCCATTTTTAATGTCTATTCCTATATTATACAAATAATCCATGCTCATGGCAAGAAAAAAATGAGAATTACAAAAGTATAAACGAAAATCACCCATAACTTTGCCTCATAGAGACTGTCACTCTTAATAGTTTCATGTTTCCTTCCAGTCTCTTTTTATACATTTATAACTGAAAACATACAGTGCATTACTTTTTTTTTTCAAAATTTTTTTTCTTCATTAATTTTTAGAGAAAGAGGAAGGGAGAGGGAGAGAGAAAGAGAAATATCGATGAGAGAGAACATTGATTGGCTGCCTCCTGCATGATCCTCACGGGATTGGGGCCACAATTTGGGCATGTGCCCTGACTGGGAATCGAACGGGCGACCTTTTGGTGTATGGGTCAACACTCAACCACTGAGCCACACCGGCCGGGTGACAGTGCATTACTTTTTATGTTCCACTTTCTCCAGTTAATAACCATGTCATCATCATTTCTTCAAAGATAGAAGAAATCTTCTGTCTTCAAATCAGTTATCTTCCAAAAGATAACACTATGTTTTTTAAAATGTCACTCTTAAATCACAGTGCATGCTTAAAGCCTTAAATTGCAGAGGAACCGCTGGGCGCTAGCCACTGAAATGCCCTTGCCCGTAGGGGCTGCACACCCCACCGCGGTAAGTGTGAAAAGTATTAGCCAGGGCCTGGGTGACCATGTTTCTCTCTTCTCCACACAGTAAGTTGAAATTGGAACTGATACACTCCAACATCAATTTCTTCAATGTGAGTTGTTTTCTCAGTATTTCTTTCTTTCTTTCTTTTTTTTTTCATCCTCATTTGAGGATATTTTTTCCATTGATTTTTAGAGCTACTGGAAGAGAGGGAGGGAAGGTGAGGAAGGGAGGATGGGGAAGAGGGGAAGAGAGAGAGAGAAACATAGATGTGCGAGAAATACATCGACTGGTTGCCTCCTGTATGCGCCCAACTGGGGCCAGGAATTGAACCTGCAACCCAGGTATGTGGTCTTGAGTGGGATTTGAACTCATGACCCTTTGGTGCTTGGCCAACTCTCTAACGACTAAGCCACACTGGCCAGGGCTCTCTCGGGATTTTTTAAATGTCTTGTCAAAGCAGGGCATTGTGGGGCTCAAGAAGTGACAAGGTCCCAGGTGGAGAGGCCCTGCAGTGTTGCAGAAAATGAGATACCATGTCTGAAAAAACCATCCAAGAGGGACACTGCCTGAGGGCTAAAGGGGTGACAGGACATGGCCATTGAGTGTATAAGCTTTGGTGGAAGATAGATCTGGGCTCCTTTTTTATTAATTGATTGATTTTAGAAAGTGAAGAAGGGAGAGGGAGAGGAAGAAACATCAATGTGAGAGAGAAACATCAATCAGATACCTCCTGCATGCAACCCAACCAAGGATCAAGCCCGCAACCTGGGTATGTGCCCCGACAGGGAATTGAACCAGCGACCTTTCAGTACCAGGACAGCACTCGACTAACTGGGCCACACTGGCCAGGGCATATTTGGACTCTTATACCAACTCTGAAACTCGCTACCTGTGTGACCTTCGGCAAATCACTTAACCTTTCTAAGCCTCAGTTTCCTTGAATGTAAAATGGGAATAATAGCATCTACCTCAAACGGAGGGCTGTAATATAAAATGGGGCAACGAATTCAGTAAGACACTCTGACAAAATGTCTCACACAGTAAGCTCTCAATATATGTTCCTTTTTGTAACAATAGTGGTCCAGGAGCACTATCCCAGATTCATTTCAAAACTGAGAATTTGTGGGGTAGTTTGGGGCATGCACCATGTTATGTAACAGTTCCAGCAGGGTCTGGGCAGCAGTCTACAATCAAACACATTACTATATCTGCCCCCATATTTTAAACTAGTCACACCAAGTGGATAGCCCCATGACAGTTCGGGTCATGTTTTGTCTTAAAATGAGTTTGCACACACTTATGGAGAATGCAATTCAGAGATTTGGGGTGTGGGGGGATTGTGAACAAAGAGCTGTTTCTCTGTGGTGGTGATCGTCACAGTCAACCTCTATTTTGTAAATGGGATGACACGTCGATGTGTCCAGCAAGGGGGGCAGGTGTTCTTCCATCTCGTTCTATTCACCAGTTTGATCCTTTCGCTCTGGCCCCGCCTCTGTTCCAGGTGGAGTTGCTGGAAACCATCTTCAATTACTACGCGACCTACCTCATATACCCCACTCTCAACGGTAAGACTATCTGCTACCGCCACGGGCAGAGGGCGAATTCTGCCCTTTCTGCAGGGTTTCTGGTTCGTTCATTTAGCACGATGAGACTGTCTTCTGTGCTGGCGGGGCCCTGGCCCTCGTAGAGCTTGCACTTCGTTGGAAGGCACACGCGGAAGTTTGATAAATGCCACAACAGGAGGAAGCACTGGGGCTGCGGAACCTAGGCGGGGCCCTGAACATGGCTTAGGGTCGGCCCAGGAGGTGAGGGCTAAGTGGAGTCCCTAAGCACAAGGAGTTAGGCTGGAGGAAGTGGAGCGTTCCAGGTGACACAGGGAGAATGCCTGGAGTTGCCACCCCGGGGTCCTGAGCCAGGTCAGGCCACTGACTTGCTGGGTGACGGTGATGGAAGTAGGACTTGGGACAGTGGCTGCCTGAGAAGCCAGCAGGGGCCCTCCAAGGACAGAGCCCTCTCCACCTGGCTTCACCATCTGCCTTTAAATCAAGAGATAAGAGCAGCAAACCTGACCTGGAAGAGAGACAGTAGAGAAGATGGTCCTCAGGGATGAGGCCCTGGATATAAACACTGCATGGCCCAGCCCTGGCCACTTTGGGTAGTGACTGAAGGTAGGTTCTTGAAGGGGACAGTAGAAGCCCAAAAGGCTGAAGATTCCTAAAGAGGCTGCATTTCCCAAGAGTCTGCTTGTGCACCGCCCCCCAAACCAGCCCTGCCTCCAGTAGCCTGCCCCGTTGCAGTGGCCCTCTCTCACTGGCCAGTTGCAAATGCCGTGGTCTGTGTCTTCACATCTCCCCGGTGTCTTCGGTCCAGCTCACCCCTCTGCTGTTTATCTTCCAGCAAAGCTTGAGGAGGGCTTCCCACTCCCTCTGCCAAGGGACACCTACCTCAACAGCTTGGAGCTCCAAATCCACAAGGTCAGTGAGAAGTGGGGTCTGGGTGGGGACCTCTAAGAACGCCGGAGGGCAGCTTCGGGGTTGGTGGATACTAGGGGGAGTCCTTAACTCCCACGTACATCTGAGACCTAATTTTCATAGAAAACACAATTTTGAATTTTGGTGTGTAAATGGCAACTTTTGATTATCTGAAACCTGGGCTTCATGTAAAATAGCTCAGTTCTCAAGAATTCAGGTCCGCCATGTGAATTGAACATCTACAGTGTGCAAGGCCCTTTAGCCACGGATGGCAGAAAGTGCAAAGGGGTCAGATTCGAAGTCACACTTCTGGGTTGAGGAGAGGCCACCTGAAGAAGCCCTGAATGTCCTTGGTGGAGGGTTCCCCCGGGGCCACTGACCAGCCCTCCCACCCGCAGCAGCAAGGGATGGCCCTGGAGAAAAACTGACCATGGCTTCTAGTGGAAGAAACATATCAGCAGCAGGGGACAGGGATAATCATAGTACACTTTGTGATATAAATCCAGAAATACTAGTTTGCAATGTCTTCACTGTTCATGTTCTTTAAAAAAAAAAATTGTCTGGCTGGTGTGGCTCCATGGTTGAACATCGACCCATGAACCAAGAAGTCACTGGTTCAATTCCCGGTCAGGACACATGCCCAGATTGTGGGCCCGATCCCCAGTAGAGGGCGTGCAGGAGGCGGGCAACTGATGTTCTCTCTCATCGATGTTTCTAACTCTTTCTCCCTTTCTCTCTCTCAAAAATAAATGAAAAAAAAATTGTTATTGATTGAGCATGTTTTTATTCCAAGGTAATCCAGGACCACATCTTCAGAAAGTGTGTGAAGGGAGCCCTGGCCAGTTTGGCTCAGCGGTTGGAGCGTTAGCCTGTGGACCAGAGAGTCCCAGGTTCAGTTCCCGATAGGGGCATGTACCAACAAAACAAACAAACAAAAAGAAAGTATGTGAGGGGAGTAAAATCCAGTAGCACCTAAGTGTGTATTGTTCTTCTGGGAGAAAGGACAGTGGTTCACAGAGGTCTTCCAGAAACTAGAAGCTTAGGATATATACAAATAATTTCCTGGGGGCAGGCAGCTGATAAGGACAGTGTTTTATAAAGGCCTCCTTTTATAAAAACCTAAGGGCTTCATTTTTGCACTGACCTGGTTTTTATCAGAGAACTTGCCTCTCCCTATAGAAGTTTCCTTCCAGGGAGCTCCTGTGCAGTTCAGACAATGACCGTTCTTACCTGTCCTTTTGCCTTCTCTCCAGAACTTCTTGCTCATAGCGGCCAACATTGACTAGGTGAGGACTGAGGAGGAGCACCTGGGGCTGGAGGAGTGGACGACAGCACATCTGGACCATTCTGTTTCCTCTCCCGTGAGCGACCGTCCCCACGGACACTAATCACCAGGGAGCCTACGGCACCTGAACACACGCCTGACCACAGGACACCTTCTCTACCTTCCTCCTCCTCCTCCCCATGTCCCTACATGTTCTCTTTGCAGCTGTCCTCAGCTTTACTCTGGGGAGCTGACCCCCAACTCCTTACCTGTCTGCTGATAGAATAAACCTTGGTGAAGGAAAAAGCATGAGCTGTGTCCAGTCACAGCCCAAAGCATCCTGCTCAAGATTAAACATAACACTTTAGTTGTACGTGTCATTTGATGTCATGGTTAATGGAGCCAAGAGTCAGACAAGTGAGAGCAAAGGCTTGTTTTTGTGACTTATTTAGTGTGCATTTATTGAGATGGGACAAGCAAAAGGTGAGGGAATTAACCATAAGACCTGCGTTATAAAAAATGTCAAAAGGAGTTCTACCTGAAACAGACAGACAAAATATACAAAACCTGGAGCAAAATGACAAACATTATCTATGTACTTATCAGTGCTCCCCTTGAAGGCACAAACTGTTATTCACCATTGCACCATTTCTAACATGGTGTCTGGCTCATAAATTGCTTTGTGTTTTTTAAATGAATGAACCTTCGTCTAGCCGGTGTGGCTCAGTGGTTGAGCATTGACCCATGCACCAAGAGGTCGCTGGTTCAGGGCACATGCCGAGGTTGTGAGCCCGATCCCCAGTTGGGGGCATGCAGGAGGCGGACAGTCGATGTTCTCTCTCATCGACGTTTCTATCTCTCCCTCTCCCTTACTCTCTCTCTATAATCAATAAAAGGGGGGGGAAGCATTTAAAAAATAAAAAAATGAATGAACCTTCATTCTGTCCATCTCTCCATTCTGGCTCTTGATTCTGCTTTGGAGTCTCCCACCAGCTGCCCCACCAGACCTTCTGGTACCCCGCAGTTTCCAGGCAAGGATCATGTCTCCTCGACTTAATCCTGGTTCCTGGGTCACCTTGGTTTTCCTCAGGTTTGCTTCACAGGCAGGAATGACAACCTGGAATCTGGTGGGACGCGCCTGGTGTCTCGACATCAGCAGACATTACCAACCAGTCGCAACTTTTAAGTGGACCCAGATACCTCCTCTTGGCATTTCAGACAGCTATGACCATCTAACTAAAGGTGGCAAACGGAAGTCAAAGGATGGTCCTTGGGTAGGTCTTAAAGAGAAAGACAAGGCAGAAAAAGAACCTTAGGGGGCAGAGTGGAACATGTCAGCCATGAAGAATGTCTGGCCCTGCAGTGGAGGTCACCAAGGTGTCAAACTCAGGTAGGCATGACAGCCTGAATTCTGCCTCAGCCCAGCCGATATGGTTTCAATTTCAAATGCAGAAATTGGACAATTAACTCCAGCCTTTCATCATGGCCTTTAAAGGGACATATCTCTCATCTACACACCCTTCTATCTGTAAAAGGGGATTAAAAATTCACGCATGCACATCCTTACATTGTGGCGGTTACTGATTTTAACTCCAAGGTCCAATAGCAGCTGTCCCATGTCCACCCTGCCCCCACCTTTACAGAGAAATCTGTCCTCTTCTCAAGTTGACACCATGTGTTTTACAATCCAGAGAAGCTGACCAACTCATCCCAGATTGCCTGTGACTTACCAGGTTTTAGCAATTAAAGTCCCTCAGCCCAGAAAACCCCTGAATCCCAGGCAAACTAGGACAGTTGGTCACACAAGCAGGCAATTACTTATGAGCCAGGCCCCGGGACTCCAGGCCACCCCAGCTTTCTCAAGGACATCAGTACCCACTCACTCCAGGCCCCTCATCACCAGCCACCCTTCCAAAGCCTTGGCCTGACGGCTCCTCAACGCCCTCAACTCTCATGGGTCCTAAACTGAACCGACTGCCATCACCTGTTCACCTCCTAGTGCTGACTGAACACTTCAAATAGCCCACCTGCCGAGCCCCAGAAGAGCAATAAGAAACACTCAAGGATGGAAAATGAGATCCGGCCTGTGACCCGCTCTCTCCATGCCCAGCCTTGCTGGCACACGGCTTCATGCTGATTTAAAAGGCAGACAGAGCAAGTCTGTAAGGTTTATTAAATGGGCGGTGGAGAGGAAAGTGATGAACAGCTACAAGTTCAAGAGAAAAGCTCTTGGTTATTAAAGTCATTCCAAGCATGGCAGAGGACATGGGGCTGGCCTTCTAAGGGTACTGCTGTCATGATGCAGAGCCAGCTGAAGTGAACCCCAAGCTTTCCCTCTGATCCCCTTGCAGAGTGAACAGTTGTTCCAGGATGCTCTGAGCGGGCAGTGAGGAGCAGCTGTGGTGAGGCTTCTGTGGGGACCTCCTCTCAATTCTCTGCCCCTCGGGTGTCCACAAACACCACCAAGACAATCTAAAAGAAAGGAAAGGTGAGTCCAATGGTTTGGAGTTCCCACCTGCATAAACACAAATCCTCTGGCTAGGGGTCCCCAGCCCTTGGCAGTAACTCACCTTGGTGAGAAATGTCAGGAAACCCAGGTCCCAAGTCATCCTGAGGGTCACTGATTCATGGCCTTGGGACCTTCTTCAACAGTCTCTGCTCTAAGGCTGACCTAGGAGGGAGAGAAAGCATATAAGCATTCAGTCTCTAGCGCCATCTTCTCCCCCAAGTGACATCACTGAGAAGGACCCAATCGTCAACAAGGCCCAAACTCTTAGTTTATGCAGCCAAACTAGCTATCACCAGAATAGAAAGGGCAATAAAGAAAAAAACAACTTAAAAATGCACTTTTTAAAAAATATAGTTTTTCTTTATTGATTTTAGAGAGGAAGGGAAAGGGAGAGAGAAACAAAAACATCAATGAAAGAGAACATCAATCGACCACCTCCTGCATGCCCCCCACTGGGGATTGGGTCACAACCTGGGCATGTGCCCTGACCAGGGATCGAACCAGCGACCTCTTCATCGGTCGATGCTGAACCAGTGAGCCACACTGGCCGGGCTAAAAGCATACTTTGTATAAGAAATTATCTTCTTTCAAGTAATTCATGATCAGGGCAACCGACCCAGATAAGAGTAACCCGCAGGAGGGCAGCTCAGTGCTCACTGTCAGGGGCTTTGACGCTGAGGTCCCACTGCATCTCGATCAAAGGGATAGACCGCCATCTTCAGCTCATTATCATTATTTATGTGCCAGCCGGTCACAAGGCCCCAGCAGCAGTCCTCCTATTCTGCAAACACCCACTCTATATGACCCAGCCAAAAAAAGGCAAATGAAAGACAAACTTCTAGCAAGACTTGTTAGGGGCCTTGATTTTTGAATATCAAGGCTGCCAGGCCCTGCCCAGGCGCCAGTATGGCTCAGTTGGGTGAACATTGTCCCGAGTACTGAAAGGTCACTGATTCGATTCCCACTCAGGGTGCATGTGGGAGACAACCTAAAGATGCATGTTTCTTGCTCTCTCTCTCTCCTCCTCTCCCTTCTTCTCTCTCTAAAATCAATAAAAATACAAAATAAAATAAAAAGACTGCCAGGCCCATCTGAAGGCTAAATGAGAGCACCTCAAAACTTGAACACATTACATAAGTGAGCCCCAACTTAATCCACAGGACTCTACACCCAGAGGTCTGAATTACCAGGTCTGGGTTTGGGGAGGTGATAAACTGTCTTTTTAAAATGGTCATCACTGTCCACTAAATCCTCCAACCTGACTGAGGAGCCCCAGGCCCCGGACTAGGCTGTGGGTCAGGACAAGCATCTGATGCGAAAGGGGCAGAGGGCAGAAAGACAAGGGAAACCTCCCATTTACTAAATGGCTGCCTGTACCTGGTGGCTCACATATATTATTCTCACTACCTTCACATCATCACGAAACGGGACAAAAACATGGCAAAACTGGATCCCATCCTCAAAGACAACAGACTTGAATGTCAACGGAAGAGGACTTGGGAACTAGACAGGAGCCCTCAGACCAAAAGTGGGAATCGATGGGATGGATACTTTGACCTCACCTCCAACCTCATCTCAGCCAAGACACCATGTTGCACCTTCTGAATCTACGAAGTGAAGGCACCATCACAGGTTTCTGCCGCCTACAGAGCACACCTGCAGTGCACAGAGCACAAGCAGAAGGTCAGCCCATCTGTTGATGGCTGACTCCATATCTGGGTGCTCAGTCAGCAACACAACATTCTAACATGAATCAGAATGCAAGCTAAGGAGTCATGAGCCTACAAATACAGACTTCAAAGATCCACAGGCCTAAAAATTTCTTCTTTAGTAAAACCCAGGGGTAGACCTTTTCAAAAGAGAACCCACAAAAGCACAGGTTAAAAGTCAGCAAAAGGAGCCTGCCAGTGTGGCTCAGTGGACTGAGCATCGTCCCATGGACTGAGAGGTCCCAGTTCAATTCCCGGTCAGGGTACATGCCCAGTCAGGGTATGGGCTCGATCTCTATTAGGGGCTGTGCAGGAGACAGCTGATCAATGCTTCTCTCTCACATTGATGTTTCTATCTCTCTCTTCTTTCCCCTCTCTAAAAAATCAGTAAAAACGTATTTTTTTAAAAAGTTAGCAAAAGGAGAGTAATTAGTCAATTTGCTCTCCTCACCTCAGTGAATGACAAGAATACTCCTCAATTTTCTGGTAGACTGACAAATGGAAACTTTTTTATTGATTCAGAATTGATAGAACTCCTCTTTGCGACTACATCTGGCCCCCACCTTTATTCTTCTTTCTCCACGATTTGAGATCATTGATGGCGCCTGGAGGAGCAATACACATCATGCTCAAGAAGAACCGAGGAGCAAAAAAAAACACACCAGCGTCATAGGCTGTCTTGTCTTGAATAAAGTATTATGGATTACCCTACATGCCTGTGGGGATGGGGGTTGGTGGATGGATGATAACCTTGTGATATGCATTCTGGCAACCTGGCCAGCCTAGGATCAAAGTGTATGTGTGGACAGACAGGTTTGACTGGAGGGCAGGAAGACTGCCTTGCATGCATACGAATGCTTCGTTTGCATGTGTCTAAGATAAGGTTTGAATGACAATGACTGGAACACCGCCTACAGTGGACAAATGAGTCCGTGGGACTCAAGAATGTCTGGGTTTGTTATTTTTTAGCTTCAAAGTCTCTTTCTGCAGTAAAATGCGAGAGACAAGGCTAGGCTGTACGGTTTGCAGAGACACCATCTCAAGGAAATAATTTACATAAATCCACTTGTAACCTGAGGGAACCAATCTGCAAATAAATGGGATTGTGTGCAAAGATCGAGAGCATTTGCTCCCTTGCAAAGCTCCCTCTCACTCCAACCAGCATGTGCCTGTAGTTCATTGTGTTGCACGATCCTGGCAGGCCCAGGGACAGCACATGCCTATAGATTCATAAAGCAGAACCCATGATTCATACATGCCCTTTGGCACAATCTGATTTTACTCCATTGTGAGGTCCAAATGTAAATGTATGGACTGGTTTCTGATAAGCGGAGCCTTAACTTGAAAAGACAAAGTGAAGCCCACAAGTTGGGGGCTGGCCCAGTCACAATAGCACATGGGGATCAGCAAAGGCCCAAGCTCTGAAGGGGATGGCAAAAGAAAAAAGCCAGTGTGTGAAAGCCCCAGGATTTGGAAAGGACAGCTGGATGCTTCAGACACCTGGAAAACTCCTTTCAGCTTCTCTCCCTGCACTATCAATGACCAGGGCATAGGCAGCCCACGATCACTTTCAGATGCAGGAGCAGGAAGGGACAGAAGGAGAGCCAGGAAGGGCAGGAGGCTGGTGCCAGGGGCTGGAGAATGGCCTGAGTCAGAGAGTAGCCCAGCCAAGCACAGAGCCCCAGCAACTTCTGAAATGTCCTACAAAGGCCCCATAAAACCTCCTTGCTAAAGTCAAGACACTTCCAGCATAAAATATTGGAAATGTGCCCTGGCCAGTTTGGCTCAGCAGTTAGAGCATCGACCTGCGGTCCTGAGAGACCCGGGTTCGGTTCCAGTTTGTCCCTGGCCCCGGTTGGGTCGTGTGGGTGGCAACCACTTGATGTGTCCCTTTCACGTCGATGTTTCTCTCTCTCTCTCTCTCCCTCCTACTCTATCTGAACAAAAAATAGAAAAATGTCCTTGGGTGAGGATAAAAAAAAAATTGGAAATGCTTTGGGGTTGGAAAAGATCAGGATCATGTGATCATGACACCACCATGAAAAACAATGTAAAAACCTTCTCTGCTATCCCAGCTTTGATCGTCAGATGAAGAAGTAGAGAGTGGGACTAGGTCACAGAGCTAGACAGGTTCAGAGATGGGACTAGCGTCTCTGGTATCTAAAGCCACGTGCTTTCCATCACAGCACACTGCTGACACTCCAGCACATGGCAGGGAGATGCCCCAGAGCAGGGACACAACTGTGAACTCATGGGATGGCCCTTTTACCTCCCTTCCCCTTACGTGCTCATCTGAGCCCCAGGGAGTATGCATGTAACTTGACAGATGCAAAATAACAAAATTCCAGAAAATGGTCCAAAAACCTTACCTCAGAGCCCCATCGTCTAGCACCCAGCTGACATGAAGACTGACATCTCCCATGGCACCTCTGCACCCACAGAGCCATCTGCAAGAGACAAGCCATGAATGGGCACTCGTGGCTGGGCCTGGGGGCACAGTGGCTGGCAGATTAGAGCACCCACAAATGTGGGCTGTTACTGTGAGTACCTGAATAACCACACTGCTGTCTCAGGAACAAGAACAACTTAACTCTAGAAAGGGTCTGTGGATCGTCTGTGATCAGGAGTGACATCTGAGTTAACCTACGTGCTAACTGTAATCTCAATTTGTTGCTAATGAGTGTATGTTGAAAGGATGCTGAGGCCAGGTTTCAGGGAGGCTGCCATGGCTGACTGGCAGTGACCAGCAGGAACCAGAAGGGTACTGGGTGGTGGGAAGGTCCCATGTCTACCATAGAGTCTAAGGGCTGCTTACATATATATCCTCAACTATACTGTGCTTGGGCCAGCTCTATTACTGCTCTAGTCCCTGCCCCTTAATCTAAGGGAACAGATAAAACCACCACCCTTGATGGAGCATGGGCCCTGTCGATGACACGACTAAAGGTGGACCATAAGAAGTCTATCTTTCAATAGAGAAACAACACTTCCAGGGGGCACAGGATGGGGAGTCTCAGCCCCAGGCATTGTTCAAGGGTTTTGTTTCCCTACAGGTCCACAATGGGGTCAGCCCTACCACCTTACAATGACACGTCATCTCCACATCTCCATCTCCTCCTTCTGTTTTGTTTTGCTTTGCTTTTGTCCAGGTGCTAATGTCAGGCACTGAGCACAATGCAAAACAAGACTGAGGCACTGCCCTCAAGAAGATCACAGCACAGGACATGATGAACACATCAACAATTTCCAGGTGAGATCAGTGCTGAGTGGTGGGGCTGAGGATGTGGGAAGGGGTGAGTGCGACAGGGAGGCGGAGAAAGCTTCCAGGAGGGGGGCCCTAGGAGGAGAGTGACCAGCCCTTAACCATGAACTCCGTGAGACAGGGCTCTGCTCAGCAAAAGGGCCTCCCAAGGACACAGCACCCAGTACCAGGAAGTAACACAAACCGCTGGGAAGACGTGTCCGAAAGCTCCAGGGTTTGGAAGGGACAAGGGTGGACCCTCCAAACACGGGGAAATGCTTTCAGCAGTTCCTCTCCCTGCACTATCAATGACCAGGGCACGGGCAGCCCACGATCACTTTCGAATGCAGGGGCAGAAAAGGCAGAGACTGAGGCGAGAAGGGAAGCCACTGCCAGCAGCCTCAGAAATGGCCTGAAGTGAGAACAGACCAGCGGACAGGTCAATGACCAGATTTACCTAAGATTACAGAAGCCACATCTAACTTTCAGAGGTTGCTTACCAGGTCCCTGCCAGGAGTTGAGAGTTAAAGGGAAGACTCACAGTATATACACTGAGAGTCCTCGGGTTCTGAAAGATCGCGTGTGAGCGGTACCAACATCGAACATGTGACAGCATCCCCACTCAGGCGCCCAGATCACTCACCTGGGCACTGGATATGAATCCAGGTTTGACTCTAAAATGCAGCCCTCTGTCCGTTCCAACACGGTGCAGTTTTCCTCTCAACAGCACAGGCACCTTCATCGGGGGCTCTCAGGATCAGAGCCCAAGGGGCCAAAGCTGGGAGCTCTGGGAAGCACCTCCACCTGCACTGCACTCCCCACACCTCATCACCTACACACCCAACGGCCTGCACAGAATTTGAGAGAACCAGCCAGGACATCACTTACCTGGAACCTCATCATCCAGGCTCTTCCTGAGGACACTTCTCACACAGGGAACAGCAGTCACATGACACTCCTGCAGGGGACAGGAAGCCAGCGTGTGACAGGCCACTTGGCACTTATACATCCAGAAAACCATCATGCTCATCAACAGGAAGCCACCTGAGGAATCCAAGTCTTAGGCTATGAATGCACTCACAGCCTGCCCCCCTTGAACCTCAATGTACTTCATGCTCAGTCACTGCCAGTCACCTAAGGCTGTCCCGTTAGGAAGGGACAAGGGTGGATTCTCTAAATATGAGGAAAACCTGACTTTTCCTTTGCCTGCATTATAGGATGCAGGCAACCTATACTCACTTCAAACACAGACACTGAAAAGGACACGAGCTGGTGAAACTGGAGACCAGCGTCAGAGGACCACAGCTATGGCTCCACAACCAACCCATGGGTTGCCTGAGGCGGGACCCCCTCCCAGTCTTCTCTGTTAGGGCCTCACAGAAACCAGCTCTGAGCCAGGGACTCAACAAAGCAGACACCAGGGGCCAGGAAGCATCTGAAGTTGGTGGGAGGGTGGAGGTGTGTGAAAGCTCCAGGGTTTGCAAGGGACAAGGGTGGACCCTCCAAACACCGGGAAATGCTTTCAGCAATTGCTCTCCCTGCACTATCAATGACCAGGGCACGAGGAACCCACGATCACTTTCAAATGCAGGGACAAAAGGGGGCAGAATGTGAGCCAGAAAGAGGAGCCCATGTGAGCAGCGCTACCTGCCCAGCCAATGCCCAGCCAAGCCCAGGATCCTGAGCAATGTCATCACTCTGTACAGATTCCATCTCCCCGCATCAAGAGGGTCCACAGGAAGACCAACTTCTGGTAAAAATGCCTCAATTTTTCATTTACCCCACAAATACGGGTTGAGTACCTACTGTGTGCCTGACACCGTGGGTCCAAAGCTCTGCAGTTTCCCTACCCCACGGAAAGTAAAGACAGGAGAAGGAAGAAACTCAACTCAAGTTTCACAGCTAAGTAGGAGCTGAGTCAGGATCTGAACTCAGGCCTTTCTGGCCCTCAAATCCAGTCCCATCTACACCAGGCCTCCGTCTGCACAAAAGCTCCCAGAGCCCGTGTGAATTCCAGGACACCCCAGGACCACCCCAGTGGGGCAGGAAAGCAACAAGCCCTGAGTTCAAGGTGCTCAGGACCAGCAGCACTTACCCAAGGGGACAGCCTCACCCTCTGGACACCATGGGGGTGCATCAGGCAGTAAGATCAGGGTCCTGCAGGACAGAAGGGGTGCTGGCTGGTGCAGAACCCCAAAGGCCGTCTGTGGGAGAGTTGTCATCGGTCTCCAAGAGCCACACAGTTGCAAGGCTTTGGCAGGGGAAAGCATGGGGAAGGGACTTTAGTGCAGAGCAGGGGGACAGGTATCCAGACTCTGGGGCCCTCCAGCATCCTTGAATTGGAAGCTCAGCCAACAGGTCGGTAAATGGAGGTTTCAACACCTTCCTTTAAAGCTTATTAAGGGGAAAGAACTACGGTCATAAAAACACTGTAGGTAACATATGGGCGGCTCTGGGAGATAAAGGCGCAGGCAGTGAAAACCTGGGGGCTCTGTCCCCCCTCAGGCCCGGGCTCACACGCGGCTCCGGCCCCGTTTCTGGCCGGGGGAGCACAAGGCTTCCCGCGCGGCGGGATCGGACGCCCGCACCGGCTCCCTCCGCAGCAGCGTCGGCGATGGCGCGGCTCACCTGGGGCCCCTTCTGGAAGACCTGGACCCGAGAGATCCACGCCCGGCGGAGGAAACGGGCACCGAACTGGAGCCGGACCTCCGCGGCTCTCCGCGCCCCTCGGGGCCTCAGTTTCCCGGCACTGGGAGGCGCGGACCACGCGCCCCTCACTCCCTGCCGCGCACTCACCAGGGCAGCGGCGCGGGGCAGAGGCGGGGAGAGAGCCGACCCCCCGGGACGGTGCGGATGCCTGAGGCTCTCGCGAGACGGCGCGGGACGCCGCACGCAGCAGCCCCCGGCCGGGCCAGCCCACCCCGCGCCCAGCGCCGGCGGAAATGCGGTTGGGGTGCGGGACGCCGCCTAGAGCGGCGCCTCCCCGAGCCGAACCCACGCAAGCGGATCTGCGCGCCCTCTGGTGGGTTTGGGACAATTTCCCCAAGCGGTCTGGAATTTTAGAAATGATCCCCCCACTAGTTTTGCTTCTCTGTTTGTTCTGAAGGTGTGCCGTGGTCACCGATTTGTCATCAATGTGTAGAGATGACCACTCTTCCCCGTGAGGAACTTTGATTAGCGGGGTCCGTGTGTTCACTGTGTTTACTTTGGACAACAGGAGTTTGTCTGATTGACCACTGTACCTGGTTTAGTGGCAGGCACAGTTGAACACATGAATGGATTCTGTCCATGTATTTATTTGGCCATTACCCGTCTAAAATATTGCCCCGATGGCCTGAAACTGGAATGTGAGGGTGACAATGAGATGAGCCTAGAGAGGTGGGCAGGCGCTTTGCTGAACCTCGTCCTAAAATTCAGTGGGATGAGAGTGTGGAGAGAGTCCTTGAAGTCCTTGAAGCAGAAGGGACTTGATCAGATTTGCACGGGAGCGACCTGATCAGATATGCATACTGGCAGAGAAGACAGAGGTCCTGTGTTCCAACATCACACTAGACCCAGGCCTGGGAGGGGACTCATGGCCCCCAACTCTCACAAGCACTAGCACTGCCTGCATCGCAGGCCAGGTGTACCTCTCAGACCTGGGGCAACCCTGCCACTAACTCAGCCCACATTCTGAAGGGTAAAACAGCCTGCCCTTGGCCCTGCGGAGGGGGCTCCCTCTGTCAGATTCCTGGCGCTCACTAAGTCAGCAAAATGAAGAAATCCAATCCAGATGTACGCAACCGAAAGAAAATGAAGGTCTCTGAGCATGAGAACACTCCACATTCAGTGTTGTGACAGACATTGTTGGGATTCTAAGACTGTGAGGACATTGGGGTCTCTGTGACGGGGAGGGGCCATGGGATGCTGTGGCTGTGAGGATGCTGGACAAAGGGGTCAGGTATGCACTCTCGTGGGCACCCAGCCCTGCTGCCCTCTCCTGCCTCCTGCTCTTGCTCTTACTCTCTGTGCAACCTTGGCTAAGTGACCTAACTTCTCTGTCCAGACTTAGTTTTCCTTTTCTGAAAAATGGGTAGAACCGGAGCTCCCCCCCTCATAGCGTTGCTGTGCAAATTAAGTGAAATGATTCATATCAAAAGCACAGCTCAGCCCTGGCTGGTTTGGCTCAGCAGTTAGAGCATTGGCCTGTAGACTAGAGACTCCTGGGTTCAGTTCCCGCTAGGGGCACATACCAAAAAAATAAAAAATAAAAAAAATAAAAATAAAAAAAAGCACAGCTCAGAGCAAATGGCCAAGGCATGGTGGTTGTGATACTTTAGGACTTCTGAGGAAGCTGAGGGCCCTGTCACTGGGAGGACCCTGTGGGATTACTTATGAGGCAGAGTGAGTGTGCTGTGTTTGAAAAGTCTAAGGCAGCACTGTAGAAATATAATGCCACCCACATATGTAATTTAAACTTTTCTAGGAGCCACACTAAAAAGTACAAAAAAGGTGAAATTAATCTTAAGAATATATTTCACTTAACTTAAGATAACCAAAATATTATCATTTCAGCATATAATCAATATTTTTAACTGATTTATGAGATATTTACTATTCTTTTTCTTTCTACAAAGTCTTTGGAATCCTGTGCCTGTTTTACACAAACAACACATTGCAATTTGGGCTGGCTACATTCCCAGGGCTCTGAAGCCACACGTGGCTGGTGGCTCCTGTTTGTGTTCTTAGAGCAGGTCTAAGACCGTCAGGCTGTCATCAGCCCTTTGGAGCCAGAGGAGAGAAGCAGCAAGCAGGAGGCTGACAGCTTGACCCTTCCATGCCACCCTATTTGTGAACCTGGGACATTTAACAGAAAGCTCTCCAACCCTGGCCGGTTTGGCTCAGCAGTTAGAGCGTCGGCCTGCGGTCCGGAGAGACCCGGGTTCGGTTCCCGCTAAGGGCACGTACTTCCGTTGCAGTTTGTCCCCGGCCCTGGTTGGTCGTGCGGGTGGCAGCCACTCGATGTGTCCCTTCACGTCGATGTTTCTCACTCTCTCTCCCTTCCTCTCTCTCCCTCCCACTCTATCTGTACAAAATATGGAAAAATATCCTCGGGTGAGGATAAAAAAAAACAAAAACAAAAAAAAACAGAAAGCTCTCCAAACCCCCTCCTCTTGGGTTTTTATGGAGACTTCATCATAAGGTATGATTGATTAAATCACCGGCCATTGGCGACTGGTTCCACTCTAGCCCATCTCTCTTCCCAGAAAGTCAGAGGTCTGGGGTAGGACTGAAAGTTTCAACCCTCAAGTCACTTGGTTGGTTCTCCTGGCAACCAGCCTCCATCCTTAGGTGCTTCCAAAAGTCAGTTCATTCATGTAACAAACACCTTTATCACTCTCAACACTTATGAAATTCCAAAGGTTTTGGGAGCTGTGAGTAAGGCACTTTGGATGAAGATCACATATACATGAGAAATATACTGTGGTCACCTGAATAACTAAATATATATTTCTTATCATCACAATATTGCAACAGGTGACCAGAGCCGGGTGTACTTCTTGGACAAAGGTTCATCGTCTCCTCCAGCAGGTGTAGAATATGTGGTAGGAATGTTTGCCTGCTACCCAAAAGGTCCTGCCCAAGAGGGGACCTGTGAGGGTGAGGAAAACACAAGAATAGAGCCTGGTTCACATCATTAGGGGTGCAGTCAAATGGCCTTAGAACCTCTGAAATAGAAGCCAGGAGAGAAAGACTCAGCATGAAATATGAGTCCAATCTAGAGAGAAGTCTTCCCTCTTCCTTACTCCTAATTCCATTTGTTTGGATCCTGGAGATACTGGACGTAGGCGAGTGGGCAGAAATCTGGTGAAGAGAAACACATCTGGGTAAGTAAAGAGAGAAGGCTTCTGTCCCTTCCCAGCAGATGGCAGTCCACTCCCTGCTTGGTGCAATGAGATGGAGAGAAGTTCTACCTATAAATGGTCACTGAAAACTTAATACATTAAACTGGACATTTAAAATAATTGAATGGCCTGGCCAGTGTGGCTCAGTGGATTGAGCATTGTCCCATGGACTGAGTTCGATTTCTGGTTTGATTCCTGGTCAGGCAGGGCACATGCCCGGGGTTGCTGGCTCGATCACCAGTAGGGGGCGTGAAGGAGGCAGCTGATTGATGTTTCTCTCTCTCTCTCCCCCTCTCTCTAAAAAAAAATCAATAAAAACATATTTAAAAAATAAAACAATTAAAAGGAAACTCTGTTCCCCATTTTTAGTGATTATAAGACTTACAAGAATGATCAGAAAAGCTATGAGGCCTGCCTGATATTTCTCTAGGGAAAGGACTTCTCCACTTAGAAAGTCTAGAGGCTGGCAAAAAAAAAAAAAAATTATGATTATATACGAGGAGTCCTGTTTTCAACATACTGGTTGCATTAATAACGGATTGGGCTATAGCTCTGAGGCCAACATTCCACCAGTCTAGAATTTGTGACCTCACAGTGGCTGAGAGAGCCCCTTCCCTGAGGGAAATAGAACCACTGGCTGGGCAGGTTGCTCCAAGGAGTTGATGCCCAAGGTCAAGGCTGGAAGTCAACAACTGACCCTGTGAGGCCTGCAGGAGCTCCAGGCCCCCTCCCCACACTGAGAATGATCACCATGCTGGAGACCTTGCTGTACTTGTCCATCCTCCTCCTTGTCTTCTTTCTGCTCCTCTGTTACTGCATCTTTCGAAGGCAATAGGCTCAGGCTCCTGCAGGTTGGAACTGAGGCCAACTGGAAGCTTTAACCAGTCCAGCCCCCTGGAGCTTCTCAGGCAGAACAGGTTCTTCCTGAGCTGCCTCATGGCCTGGGTCTTGGCCTCCTTTGGAGTCTCCAACAGCCCCAACCAAGCCCTCTCTGGATGCTCTGATAGACTGAGACGAGACAGCGTGTCTCTCCACCAGCATCATCTCTCACCTAGGTCTCAGTACCACCTTCTCACTGAGTCCCCTAGCTGAGTACTCTGACTCCCACAGTCTCTCTAGTTTTGCTTCTGGTTCATTTTGCCACTTATTTTGGAGAGATGATCAATGTGGGCTCAGTAATGGTATAAATGACTCAGACCTCTGCTATGTGGACTTCTGTGGTGGCTCTCTCCCTTAAAAAACTGGCAGGACTGTGCCCTGGGGACTGGAGTCCTAGATAAAGACTGATAACCTCAGCAGTGAGATTGGACGTTCCTTCTATCCATGGTAGAAACAATCTTGAAAACAACCTTCTTGCTAATGAATCTGGATGGTTAATTAACTTGGGTTTCCCTGAACAACACCTTTGAATCTTCCTAAATAACTGAGATATTTGTGGCCAATTACTTAAATTTTCCTGCCTTGAGAATTGTTAACTTTCTTGCCTGAATACTTGGGCATTCCAGCACAATGATATTTGACTTGGGCTCATTCTCTTTCACTATGCTGGATGACTACATTCGTTCTTCACTCTTACGACCTTAGGTTTTCACCCTGGCTGGGTTGCTCAGTTGGTTGGAGCACTGTCCTGCATATCAAAAGGTTGCTGGTTCAGTTCCTGGTGAGGGCACATACGGGAGGCAACAGATCGATGTTTCTCTCTCACATTGATGTTTTCTCTAAAACAAACAAAACATATCCTCCGGTAAAGATTAAAAAAAAATGTCCTTGGGTTTTCCTAGGTAAGGGCATTGAACATCCCTGGCTACTTTTCTGGGACTTCTAATATAAAAATAGAAGACTGCTTCTATGATTTTTCCATGATGTATGATAATAGCTGACGGTTTACAATGTATATTCTATTTCTATAATTATAAGAATTTTTAAAAGTTATGAATAGATATTAATTTTTATAAAATGATGATAATGATGGTAACTAAAATTGATTATACTAGCTGACTATAAACAATCACTATTAAAAAACACTTATGGCTCTGCATTTCAATGTATTATTTTATCTATTTTTAAACTTTAAATTGTGATAAAATACACATATAAAACTTACCAACTTGACCACTTTACTCAGTTCAGGCCCTGGCCGGTTTGGCTGAATGGTTAGAGCATCGACCTGCAGACCAAAGAGTCACAGGCTTGATTCTCAGTCAAGGGGTATGTATAGTTGCAGGTTCGATCCCCGGCCTCTGTCGGGGTCATGTGGGAGGCAGCCAATCAATGTGTCTCTCGCACATTGGTCTCTCTCTCTCTCTCTCCCTCCCTTCTCCCTTCCCACTCTATCTAAAAAGCAATGGAAAAATATCCTCGGTGATGATAAAAAAATAAAATAAATATCCAGTTCAGTAATGTCAAGTACATTCATATTGTTGTACAACCATCCCTATCATCTATCTTCAGTATTCTCTTCATCTTGAAAAATTAGAACCCTGTACCCATTAAACAAAGAAGACAGACATGGTCCCTGATTTTGTTGGTTGTAGTCTAGTGGGGATAATAAACAACTGAACCAGCAAATGTAATTTAAAATTATGACAAGTGCAACAAAAAATGGGCACTGATGTAATCAATGAAATAAGAGAAGAAGCTAAAACGAATTAAAACGAATATAACCATATTCAGAGCAACACAGGCAAACAATTTTAGGAATGAGAAAGGGGACACAGTAGGGTCAGAGAAAAGAGTAAAAAGTTAGAGAACCATATATTTGACTTTTTTCCCATAGCACTTACAATTTAGATAAACACATTTCTAGAAAATATTTTACAAAATTACCTTAAGGAAAAATAGAAAAGCTGAATCATCTTATAATACTTTAAAAAACGGAGTTAGGCCCTAGCTGGTTTGGCTCAGTGGTTAGAATACCTGGGTTTTGGGTTTGATCCCCAGCCCCGGTCAGGGTAGTATGGGAGGCAACAAATCAGTGTGTCCCTCTCACATTAATGTTTTTCTCTCTCTCTCCCTCCCTCCCACTCATCTAAAAATTAGTGGAAAAATATCCTCAAATGAGGATTAACAACAACAAAATTGAGTTGGTAGTTAATGATCTTCCCATGAAGAAAACGTCATACCCAGGGGTCTTTTTAGGTAAGTTCTACAAAACGTTTAGCTGTATACAGTCTCCCAGATAATAGAAAAAAAGGAGGAACAGTTCTTAGTTCACATGATCCCAAAATTAGGCAAGGTCAATGAAAGAAAAGTAAATTACTGGCCAAGTCACTTGTGGATGTAGACGTAAACACCCTAAAAAAATATTGGCAAGAATTCTGTATGCAAGAAAAAGAGTGAAATTCAGAAGTCCATGCACAGTGGGGGAAGCCATGAATCACATCTCTATCCATCATCCAAAACTGGGGGCAGGTTGTGCCACATATGGTTGTGCAGGCTGTGCTGGCCAACTCATATTCTCTGGTTGAGAAGCAGATGTTGGGGATGCTTGGCTGAACACCATAAACACTTGATGTTTTCCTAGCATGGCCATTTCTGGAATAACGAGAGTGAGCCTATGTTCTACCATCCTAAAGGGGGTTTAAAAAATCCCATTCAAATTCTTAAATAGTGGATCCTTCTAATAAGACTGTGAATATCTGTGAAGGGTAACACTTTGGGGGATCCCCCCCCCCCAGCTATATGTGGTCAAGCAGAAGATGATTAAACCTGTGACCATGAAACCTGTGCAAGTTCATTAGAACAAGGAAAAGGTTTTCAAGAAGTAGAGGGGCTTGCTAAGAAATGCAGCCCTTGCTGTGGCTGGTTGCTCAGTGGTTAGAGTGCCGGCCTAACTCTCTGTGAACCAGAGAGTTTCGGGTTTGAGTCCTGCCAAGGTTGCAGTTTGTCCCCGGTCCTGGTTGGGTCGTGTGGGTGATAAACAATCAATGTGTCTCTCTCACATCGATGTTTCTCTCTCCTTCTCTCTCTCCTTCCCACTCTGTCTGGAGATAAATGTAAAAATATCCTCGGGTAAGGATTTAAAAAAAAAGAAAAGCAATGCAGCCCTTAACTCAACCTTTGGCATTCGAGCTCTCAATTCTCAAAGTTACTTTTCAGGATAAAATATAGACACTTCTTCCCTTTCCATAGCTGTGGGAGGAGTCAGCCATCTAGGAGGTCTCTTACCTCATCAGTGGGTTGGGAGGTGTTGAGAGTCACAGGTCCCCCCTCTGTGGTTTGCCCATGTTTGGGATGCTTGGCCAAGACCTGTCTCCTTCCTGCATGAGTTCAGTGGGCAGACCCTACCCAGGAAGGGAGTGGCTGGAGGGCCTGCAATAGCAGTGAAAAGAAGGTAGAACCTGCAGGTGATCAAATCTGGACTGGGTCTTCCATCCACCCATCACCATTGACCAAGGATGCTTCGACCTAAAATTTGCCGAATTTTTTTTAGGATGTTTACATCTACATCCACAAGTGACTTGGCCAGTAATTTACTTTTCTTTTATTGACCTTGTCTAATTTGGGGATCATGATTATTATATGAACCTGGGAGACTATATATGGCTAAAATGTTTTGTGGACCTTACCTATAAAGACACCTGAGTATAATGTTTTCTTTATGGGAAGATTATTAACTACCAACCCAATTTTTATTTATTTATTTTTTCTATGTCATCTTCAGACAGAGTGGGAGGGAGGGACAGGGAGAGAAAGAAAGAGAGAGACAAACATCGAGGTGGGAGAGACACATCAACTGGTTGCCTCTCCCAAGACCCTGGCCAGGACTGGGGACGAACTGTAACTGAGGTACGTGCCCTTGACCAGAATCCAACCTGGGACTCATTGGTCCCCAGCCAACGCTCTACTGCCAAGCCAAACCCACCAGGGCCCAATTCAGTTTTTAAAAGTGTTATAAGATGACTCAGCATTTCTATTTTTCCTTAAGGTAATTTTGTGAAATATTTTCTAGAAATGTGTTTATTTTACCTAAATTTTAAGTGTTATGGGCAGAAAGTCAAATATGTGGTTCTCTAACTTTTTACTCTTTTGCTCTGACTCTACTGTGTCCCCTTTCTCATTCCTAAAATTGTTTGCCTGTGTTGCTCTGAATATGGTTATATTCATTTTAATCCATTTTAGTTTCTGCTCTAATTTCATTGATTTTCCATCAGTGCCTTTTTGTTTGTTTGTTTGTTTGTTTGTTTGTTTGTTTGTTTGTTTTAGAACTTGTCATGCTTTTTAATGATTACATTTGCTGGCTCATTTGTTTATTATCCCCACTAGACTACAACCAACAAAGTCAGAGACCACATCTATCTTCTTTGTTGTATTTCCGATGCTTTGCTCAGTCCCTGATGATATGAAGTAGCTGTTCAATAGATTTTCTGGATGGATGGGAATCTAGATGAGTTAATGAACAAATTGATGAGAGAATGGATGGACTGATGGATGGACGAGGAAGCTGGTCCTCCAAAGATGTTTTCTGGATAAATGGATGGAGGGCAGGAGGGAGGGGAGAAGGGAGGCAGGGTGAGTGAGTAGGTGGGACGACCGGGAAGATGGAAGGGTGCTTGGATACCCAGCGGGTCAGACTTTAGCTCCACTCCACTAGGGGGCACTAAGAGACCGCTTGCGTGGTTCGCCCCGCGAGACGCCGCTCTAGGCTGCAGCCCGCGCCCTGCATTTCCGCCGGCCGAGCTGGTTGTTTACCTTGTGTTGGGCCGGAGTGGCGCAGAGCCGGCCGCCCCTTCTCACGCCGTGCCCTCTGATCCCACGCCGCCCGGGTGGGTCCCTGCCGGGCCACGCTGCATTGGGACCTCCGCGGCCTCTGAGGCCGGTGCTGCGTGCACCCGCCCCCGACAAGAGGAGAAACTGAGGCCCCGAGGGGCGCGGCGAGCCGGCGGGGGTCAGCTCCGAGCCTAGGCCCGGCTCCCAGATCGGTGCCGGTTTCCTCCGCCGGCTGTGGCCCTCTCGGGTTCGTGCCCGCGGAAAGGGGCCTCAGGTGAGCCGCGCCATCGGCCGACGCTGCTCCGGAGCGAGCCGACCGGACGTCTGATCCCGCCCGGTGGGGAGCCCTGTGCCCGCCGACGGCCAGAAACCGGTCCGGTGACGCGTGGGCCGAGGTCCCGCAGCGAGTTGTTTGGGGCCGCGTGTGACCCCAGTGTGAGGGGTGCCAGAGCCCCCCATTTTCACTGTCCCGTACCACCTCGGCCTCCCGGCATTTACCCTAACCCCAAAGCAATTGTCAGTTCCCTACAAAGTGTCTTTAGGACCGTTAACTCATTTTCCTTAAATACCCTTCAAGTTTAAACTTTGCACTTCCATTTTACAGACAGGTTGGCTGAGCTTTAAATTCAAGGATGCTCCCAGGGTTCCAGGGTCTGGATTCCAGGGTCCCTTTCCCCGTGCTTTTCCCTGCCAAGGCCTTGGGACTATGTGACTCTTGGAGACAGATGACAACTCTCCCTTGGACGGCCTTTGGGGCTCTGCACCAACCAGCGCCCCTTCTGTCCTGCAGGACCCTGATGACACTGCCTGATGCACCCCCACGGTGTCCAGAGGTGAGGCTGCCCACTGGGTAAGTGCTGCCTTCCTGCCCCACTGTAGAGGGGGTGGTCCTGGAGTTCAGGTGGGCTCTAGAATTGTCTTGCAAAGGTTTGGGGCAGAAGGAGGCCTGGTGTTGTAGATGGGACTGGATTTGAGGGCCAGAAAGGTTCAGACCCTGACTCAGCCTCTCCTCTGGCCATGTAATCTTGGGTAAGTTTCTTTATTCTCCTCTCCTCTCCTCTTTCTTCAGGTGGGAAAACTGCAGAGCTCTGAGGGGACAGAGTTTTACTTTGTCTGTGTTTTACTTTGTATTTGAACCCACATATGCGTGGCACATAATAGGCACTCAGTACATATTTGTGGGGTGAATGAAAAATTGAGGCATTTTGACCAGAAGTTGGTCCTCCTGTGGACTTCCTTGTGAGGGGAGATACAATCCTTATGTGAAGGGTGAAGCCTGAACTGGGTCTCAATCTCTTCTCTGCCTCCTAGCTTTCCTATCTCCATTTCATCCTCCAGAAAGCAGGACTACGGAGGCCATTTTTTTTAGGATCACATAGTCCTTGTCTTTTAGAGCCTGAGAACTCCATTCTTTTTTTTTTTTTTTCTCCTTTCAGAGGTGTCTTCCCTTTGCCTCTCCTGCCTGGGCCATGTTGGAGGAATTTTTGCCGTATCAGAAGCTGACTGCTCCTGGCCTCTGCCACTGGCCTCCTTTTTCAGCAAGCCCTCTGTCCTTTTCTGCCCCTGCATCGGAAGTGAGACTGCCTGTGTCCTGCTCATTGGTGGTGCAGGCAGAGGAAACACAGACAGGGTTTCCCGTGTTTGGAAGGACCACATCCGAGCTTTCCCACATTCCTCCTCCTCCTCTGCACACCTTGCGCCTCCAGGGCCTCGGGGGCTGTCACGTGTGAATCAGTGTCATTGTCGGGGCTTTCACTTTTCTGCCCCTGCTGTTGGGAACCAGGCTATGTGTGCCGCTTAAGGTCCCCTCAGTGCCCCAGCACAGTTGCTGCCCGTCAGCCATGTACACCCCGCAGACCCGGCCTTGGCATCCTTCTCAGCCTACCAGTGATGAACTGCACATTAGTCAGCATTGGCTACCCTGCTGTAGACCACCCACTGCCTCTTTAGAGTTAATTGCTATCCTTTTATGAGGAAACAGTGTGTCTCTTCAGAAATGATAACAGCCAACACTTGTGGAGTGCTTACTATCTGGCAGCTACTGTGAGCAGGGACAAGTCAGGCGCTCAGTTGTGGCTTCTTGTCTGTTGCAGATGAGTCCACTGCGTGCAGGGGCATCATGGGAGTTGTCATGTCAGGAACATTCCAGACCCTAGTGTCCTTGAGGTAAGATGGCTGGTCCATTTTCTGGAGTATCGGTTCCTCGCATCCAGTACAGTCATCAGTCCTTGTGTTCCCAAGGGCGTTGAGGTGACCGTGTGAGGGAGCGAGCAGAGAGGCGAGATGAAGGTAGCGTCCATGAGTCCCCAGATCCGCTCGCCAGACTAGATCATATCTGGCCCTTCTCATGCCTTCAGCAGCTGCTGCAGGCTGGCGCCTCCGTAGTCTCTTTTGAATAATGAGCCCCTCTCTGGGGTCTCTGCCTTCCCTCCCGGGAGCAGCAGCAGAAGCACAGGGGAAAACTGGTGGGCCTAGGCATCAGAGACTCCTGTCCCTGGGCTTGAATCCCCTCTGCTTCCCTCTCGGTCAGTGACCTGTTCAGACCTTCATTTTCTTCATTTGAAAAGCAAAGCTGTGATAGAGGTGACTTTGTGGTATTTAAGACTACACGATTCCTATCATTTCCCAACCTAATATTTTCCCAGTGTTTTTGCCCGAAGTGACTTCTCTTTGATGCCTCTTGGCAAGGGGAGGGGGGGGGTCTGTGGGGCTTTCACAATACAGAATGGCCACTTCTGGGGTGCTGTGCTTGCCTGGGTCATTTTCTGAGACTCGGCCTATTCCCCAGGCCTTTGGCAGCTGCTTCTCTTCCTGGATCGCTCTGCCCTTGTGTCCACCTGCATTCAAAAGTGATCACGGGCTGTCTGTGCCCTGGTCGTTCACGATGCAGGGAGAGGAATTGTTGAAAGCAGTTTCCCGTGTTTGGAGGGTCCACACCTGTCCCTTTCAAATGCTGACGCTTTCACACACTTTGTCCTGCAGCCAATGCTTTCTGCTCCCAGACGCCGTGGGCCGCTGTGTGAGGGTCAGTGGCAGGAGACTTTTTAACTTGGCGTTTGTCAGCTTGGCCTCCTGTTGCCAGAGCCAGGCTCTGTCTGTGGCAAGGTTTGGACACTCAGGAGTGTTGGGAGCGAGGAGGAACTATGCATGGTGAATAAGGACGATGTTGGCTAGTATGAAGTGATTGCCATAGGATTTCCAAAGGGAAGCATTTTGGGGTTGGTGGACCGAGCAGGCCTCTGTAAGAGTGGGGTGTGATGGGCAACAGGAAGGTATTCGAGGAGAAGGGAACAACACACAAGGACAGTTTTGAGGCTGGGGTGAGCATAAGCACCTGGGGAGACAGATGTGCAGGCAAGTAATGACTGTGGGGGATGGCTGCTGGGGTGGTGGCCTTCACTCCAACACCGCGTGGTGGGGCCTGGGTGGGCGGGGCCCCGGAAAACAAGCCCCCTAGCTATCGCTCTGCCAGTTACTGCATCTGAGCTGTTGCCCTGAAAAGGCCTGTTTTTTTCATTTGTTTTTCTCTAATCCTCACCCGAGGATATGTTTCTATTGAATTTAGAGCGAGAAGAAGGGAGGGAGAGAGAGAGACATTAGTCAGTTGCCTCCTGTATACCCTGGCTAGGGTTTGAACCCCCAACCTGGGTATGTGCCCTGACCAGGAATCGAACCCACGAGCTTTCTCTGTACAGGACGACACTCCAGCCAACCGAGCCACCATCAGCCAGGGCAAAAGGCCTGGTCTTTTGTTTTTTTGTTTTTTTTTAAGACACTGTTCATTTGGATTCTTTTCTGGGAGCATTGAGATTCCTTTTTGAGTCGAGGTTGGTGTGAAAGCTCATTTGTGCTTAACTGGGTGCATTCTCACTGACAGCCACTTGAAGAAAGATGAAGTAACACTGGAGACCAAATACTTGCTGTGACCTCCTGCTCCGTGGCCTCCTCATCACTCTAGGGGTGCTGCCTTGGATCTGGAGATTGTTGGAGGAAGCCCCAAGGGGATGGAGGCACAGACCCTCAAGATGGTCCCCTGGGTCGCAGGTCCCCTGGAGGGGCCTCCTCATGGTGAGTAATATCCAAGGGGCTGTGTTGGCCTGTGTTTCCGAAGTGGAAGTTCCAAGCTGCTGGCCTCACTTGACTTTCTCCTTTAGATTCTTTGGGGGTTGATTGTGGACACTGGCAGAGTGGAGTGAAGAGCGAAGTTGCCACATGACATATCACCAGATCTTGTTACCCCGTTACATCAGCTTGACATGGGAGAACTTTCCCTCTGAGCGAGCTGGGCAGTGGCAAAGCCTGGGGCTCGGGACCTGGGGATTATGTTCAGGGTCGGAGACCTTCCACCGGCTCTGCCCTCCCCAGCAGGTGCTGCAGAGTGCTGTGGACCGGGCCTGCTGGTGTCCTTCCATGTGGGCCAGGTCCCCCTGTGTCCCCATGTCCCCATGCCACCGCACGTGTAACATTTTAGAACCGAGAGGTCCTGCTGATGTTTATTTGTTATGCAATCATTGTCTTCTCACCTGCCTCAAATAAACCTTGAAACGGCCCTGCAGCTTGTTTTCTGTTTCTCTTTTTCTTAGTTTCAATCAGTACCCCCGTGTGCCAGCGGGGCTGGGTGTAGAGAAAGTGGGTCGCGGGCAGATCTTCCAGTTTTCTGTCCTTGAGCCTTTCCGCTAACCACACTCCTAAGGCTTGACCTAGGGGCTAGGACATGGGATGTAGAATTTCGACAAGAGATCGAACAATCCTGAGGGTTTTGGGGGGCTCGGGTTTAAGAGAGAACTGTTAGAATTGTTGGCTGAGGGATGCTTGGGCCGGGGCTCTGGAAAAGGGGAGGATAAGGGGGTGGACCTAGAGACAGAGTGGGGCTGAAATCTCCAGGGATGCCGGAGCCTTGAGCTCTGGTGAACGTTCACTGGGTGAATTGAGGGAGATGGTTTGGAGCAGAGGTGGGAGTGGGGTGTGAGGAAAAGCCTCCCTTGGGAGAACTCTGGGATGTGGTGGGCAAAAGCCAGGAGTTGGCGTTACAGCTGCTGTCACCACGAGTAGTCCGGTAAGGGCAACGCAGCTGTGCTCAGGCGCGTGTGCTTCCCACCCTGTGGGTGCGTGTTACTCCGGCCTCATCTTGTAGGTATGGGCCACACACAGGACCTCTCCCAGAGGCCATGGAAAGGGAGGAGTTGATTGTTTATTCCATCCATTGAAATTGAAATCACCTTGACTGGGCTGAGGTGGAAACCAGGTGGTTGGGCCCCCTTTGTGAATTCAGGGCCTTGATGGCCTCTATCAGCAGGAGGCATTCTTGGCATCTGGAGGATCTACTCTTGCCACCAGTTCAACAGAGGTCCTTATTTCTGCCCTGCCCTTCTCCTTACTTCCTACCAGACCATTTGCAGTCTTGAAGATCTCCAGCTACTCCAACTCCTCTCGGCATGGGTTTCATCCAACACGGCCCTAGTCCTCTGGTGAAAAATGACCACATTCCCCCCGAGTTCCTGTTCAGCAAAGTTTTACTATTGGTTGTTGCCAGGCATTTGTAGACCCCTTTCTTGAACACTGACTGTCCCCTCTGACTGTAAAGCAGATTCCAGCCAGCCTTCTGTAGCAGTGTCTGCACCGCATTCCCTCCCCTTTATCCTGGTTATTCTCCCAGGGTCTTCTTGACCTGCTCCCTCAGTCCTGCGGCTCTCCCCTGCCCTCGGCCACCGTCATCCCTCCTGACCCTCAGCCCCAGCACACACCCCATTCTCCAGGGAAGACGAGCGGGGCTCTCCTTGCCTGTGCTCTGCCTGTCCACCCTCCCCTCACACGTGACTCCCACAGCACTGTGGGCCCAGCTGTACCGCTTCCGGTTCCTAGACAGACACCTTTCCTGGCCTGTGCCTGAATGCACCCTCCGTTTCCGTGCTGGCCTGGCTCAGCTGGTTCACTTCCGGAAGCCTTCCCGGGCTAAACCTCCACCAGACTGGGTTCCCTGCCCCTCCTGTCGCTCCTACCAAGTCTCAGTTACGTGCAGGAACAGTTCTAGGAACTGGCAGACAAAAGGCAAAAGAGCAAATCCCTGTCTTCTTGGTGCTTACATTTTAGAGACAGACGTACCATGAAACACTAAAACGGGTAATATGCTAGAGAGGGCTAAGGCAAAAGATAATGAAGCAGGGAAACAGGACAGGAAGTCTGGGGGCCAGAAGAGTGGCATTTTAAGTGACTAGGCAAGGACAGCCTCACCTGGGAGGTGTGATCTGAGTAGAATGAGGACCTGTCACCTCGGTGTCCAGGGCAGCCTTGCAGCCTTCATCACAACTTGGACCCGGAGTGGCAGGAAGCTTTCCTCTCGGATTCCTTGGGGGTAGAGTTGAGGGGAGGGCGCTCAAGAGGCCTCTGAGGCCACCGCAGTGCTGCACCTGATTGTGAAGATCTGCCATGTGGTGAGGGTGGCAGCCCAGTCAAGTTGGGATTAGCTAGTCAGACCAGGTGTGCATGTCCTGAGGTCAGGTTCTATACCTGTTAACTCTGCAGCCCCTCACCCTCCTTTCACTCATCCACAGCTCAGTGGCCTGGGGAAGCCCAGCTACCCAAGGGCAGGCCTAACCCTTGGTCTGGGACAAGAGCAGTGATAACCAAGCCCGGCAGGTTTTCCTCTTGGGGAGTTCTGAGTATGTCAAGAGCCTGAGTGACAGGTTGCAGAACACACAGAACGGGACAGGAAATGAGTCCCTTTAGCAGCAGAGTCCAGAGATGCAGAGCATTAAGCTGCTGTTGCAGGCAGGAGAACCATTTCTAGAACTTTTATAAGGGGAGGATGACATTCCAATTCCCAAACCACATTAGTGCTCTACTAACCCTGTCTGTAAGCAGCACTCAGACTTGCCATGAGGCCTAGGGGTTCCATTTTCCTTGAATTTTTATGAGGCATGGCCATGTGACCAAAATTCTTGTCTTCCTTTCTTTATTGTTTTACTCCTCACCTGAGAATATTTTTTCCTATTTATCTCAGAGTGGGAGGGAGGGAGAGGGAGAGAGAGAAAAACATCAATGTGAAAGAGACACATCAACTGGTTGCCTCCTGCACCACCTGACCAGGGCTGGGACTGAACCGCAACCAAGGTATGTGCCCTTGACCAGAATCGAACCCGTGACTCTTTGGTCTGCGGGCTGACGCTTTCATTCTAATCGCTGAGCCAAACCGGCCAGGGCACTTCCTTTCCTTTATAAGGGACCTTACGTTCATCATGATTGTGCCATTGCTAGAGGGAGCTAAATGAGTCTGCTCATAACAGCCTAGAGGGTGAGAATTACCAGCATAGTTACTTACACATGCAAGGAGCTCAATCAGCCTTTAAAAATGAGGAATGAAGCCAGTGGTGGCCTTGATGGTGTGCACCAGGAAGAGCTCACCAAGGCCTCCCTGTCTCCTTGACTACAACTGCCATGTCACCGGGATACCTAACTCCGCCAGCACTGGAAGCAGCCTAGTGAAATCATTAAGAGCCTGTAGTTCTGATGTCTCTTAACTGCTATGGAGCCTGGAGTACATTCTTTTGCCTGTTTGAACCTCAGCTTCTGGCTCTGTAATTTGACCATCAGAACAGCACCTACCCCACATAGTAAGGATTAAATAAAATGATGCACATTAAATGCATAACACAGTGCCTACCCCATACTGATCGTTTAATGCATGCCACCCAGTTGTATTTGACGAGCTTGTCTAGCTAGTTGACAGTTAAAAAGGAAGAACAAATATAGAATGTCATTATGACAGACCCATTTGTTAATGTGACACCATGAATACTTTTTTCTCTGCTAAACTGCAGACTTCCTAGTGGGGCTGGCGTTAGACATTGCTACCACTGATTGAACTTTTGTTAAATGCCATGCACTAAGTAAACCCTTATATATAATTACTTCATTTAATCTCCACAATAACCCAGTGAAGTAGATTTAATTGTCCTCCATTTATAAACAAGGAAACCAAGGCTCAGAGAAATGAAGGGACCTGTCTCACTTCTAATGAGTGGCTCAGCTGTTTTTCCATTTTCTGGTGTATTAAGTAGGGAAAAACATTGCAGGCCGATTTCATAAATAGCATGAGTATACCAGGCTGTCAGATGTTTGTACTAGAAAACTGGAAATCTGGATACTTTACTACTGCCTCCATCTGCTTCGAATTATTGCCTATTATCCAGTCTTCCTAAAATATTCTCCATCTAAATCAAGTCCTGAGCATTGAACTTGTGAACCTGGCACATGCAGAGACAATATGCCTGTCTCAGTCAACACCAAAATATCAAGTATCTCTCATTGCTGTTGTATCTGATGCAGCAGTCACCCTAGGTCTTCTGAACTTGAAACCTTTGCAGAGTATTTCAGAGGTGGCCCAAAAACCAGGATTAGGGCCAAGAAGAGTCACTGTCCTATGAGAAAATTAGTGCCCAAGACCAGAGGCCCTGGTGAAGCAGGTGGGAGTTACATAGCAGAATCAAGCTAGGACAATGGAAGAATGGAGGTTCATTTGTCCATTCAAAAAATACTTGTTAGGGAATGTGCTACCTAGTACACAGATCATAAATTCTATTGATCCACACCCCAGCTAGTTAGGAACAGTCACTATGTGCTGGGTTTTGCTCTTGTAAGCTGGGCATACAGCTCTGAACAAGGTCCCTCAGAGGAGGGACCTCAGTCTAAACAGTCCAATAGAAACATAACGCAACCTATACATGCAATTTAAAATTTTCCTGGTAGACACATTAAAGAAATAAAAAGCAGATGAAATATATTTTAGTAAAATATTTAATCTACTACATCAAAAAATTGTCATTTTATCATATGATCAATATAAAAATCATGAATGAGAGAGTTTACATTTTTTTCTCCCAAACCAAGTCTTTGAAATCTGGTGTACATTTTGTGCTTATAGCTCATCGCAGTTTAGACTAACCGTGTTTTGAATGCTCAGTAGCCACGTGTGGCCGGTGGCTACCTTGTTGGGTATCAGAGATCTAGATGATATCCTAGGGGCTCGAGGCTAATTCCATGGAATAAGAGTGTTGCAGAGATGCATCCTTTACAGGAAGGCTGCTTCACCTTGTAAGGGCTTAAAGAAGCTGCTCCAGGTTGAATCCCCACTCTCTGGTATCCCTCTTCCCCATCTTGGCAGAGTGGGGCCAGGCAGATATCAGATGTGCCTGATGGAGTCCTGTATCGTGTTCCAGAGCCTTCTGGAGGCAGGAAGCCAGGTTCCTATTGCTTCTCCACTGGAGTTAAGCCCCCACCTACTGGAGTTAACCTTAGTGTGCCCATTTTTTTTTTTCATTCAGTCAGTCGGTACTTGTTTACTGAGCACCAACTAAGTGCCAGCATCTGTGCTGAGCACCGGGAATACACACCAGTGAACGTAGTTATCTCACAGTCTTGTTTTGATAACCAAGTAACCCACAAATGAATAAATCATGAAAATGGACAAATGAAAGGGCACAGACACTGCACAGGGACACTTCACTTTTTGGAGGTCAGAGACGGTCTCCCTAAGGAAGTAGAATTCACTGAG